AACTGTCCATGATTAATTTGCTTTAAATATATTGGGAGATAATAAAGACGATATTATTATTATTAACAAAATGCACTGTATGATTCATCAGTCGGATGACTCTTTTTGGAAAGAATCTGACAGCTTCAGAGAAAAGTTGTTTCATTTATGTAAGCAATATGCCAGAATTAGTCTAAATCCAGCTTTATTAGGCTTTAAAAGTTTCCAATTTTCCGAAATGCTGCCTTTGTTTTTACTGTAAAGTGGTTACTCACGTCTGCTAAATAAATATATGCAAAAAGTTGATTTTTGCACAGGGCCGGTTTTATTCCAATTTTTTCTATTCTAACGATGCATCGTGATGATCAACGAATATTGTACGGATATGTCTTTTAGAGGCAGTTGAGCAGTGAGAGAGTTAGTGACAATTTATGTAATAATAAACTTTGTTGCAAAAAATTATACATCATAGTGTTATATATTAAATGTGTTTCTGTGCAGAAATGAGCAAAACATATGAGACTGTCTGATTGCTTGTTCCTGCTAGTTATGTTTGAAAGAAAAACATGATCTTCAATGTATCAAAAATAGATCATCCATTCTTTCAGTGTAAGAAAAACAGTAATACTTCAAGTGATATTAATGTCGCTTTAGTGTTGGAAAAATTAACGTTTCCGAAGATTTCATTAAATTATATTCACTCGTACATCAACTTCACATTGTGAACTCCATTAAAGAATAAAATAATACACGATTTGTATAGTCGTGCGTAAAATTGAATACATTTTTTTTGAAGTATCACCATTTCATAGTTTGTAATGATCGATAATACTTACGTGAAAAGTTTAATCGTTTTGGAAGCATCATGCATTTGAGCGTCGGCAACACGAACCATAACAGAGCCATAACCAAAAGCAGAGCAGAGAAATTTTAGGGAAAAGAGAAAAACAATTTACGTCAATACATTGTCAACTGCTTTGAGTTTGGTGTCAGTTAGTCTCGATAATCTTTGCTTCGGTCGGCATTTTCATATCTATGTAAAATATTGTTGAACGCCTATGGATGTTTTGTAATATGTTTTATAACGGAGATGTGTGTCAATGTTCTTTGACACAACGATAGGAAATTTTGAAAACCAAATGGCTTTTGATAAAACTCAATATGTCGCAGTGAAGATTCTTCAATTTTGGTTTTAGTTATTTAGTATTGATATATCAGATGCTTATATACATTTCTTGAAAATGTCTCTCAATTCAATATACGAGGTCTCTTCAAAAAATAAGGTGAATGTTCAAATTTCACGGACTACCTATATTCGCTTAGTGATTTTTTCATTTTTATTTTTTTAGTTGGTACAATCGTCCAGAACATTTATTGACAGTTTTAGCTGTTTGGCATGTTTGGTTTGTTGGTGGGAGGCAGAAACGTTAAGAGTGTTTTGCGTGTTCCGCGGTTTTCTGCTATCAAAAAAATGAATCGAAGAATTTGCATCAAATTTTGTATGAAAAATGAAATTGAGTGCTTCAAAACTCTTGAAATGTGAACAGTGGCATACGATAATTGTACACTAAGTCAAAAAATTGTTTACGACTGGTACAAGCTTTTCACAGAAAGTCGAAAAGATGTGAATGATGACGCTCGTCCTGGACTCCCCATCAACAACCGATGAAAATGTTGGAAAAGTAACGAAAATCGTTATGGAGCGTCATCGAATAACAATGAGAAAAGTTGCTGAGAATGTCGACTAATCTGTTGGCTCATGCCGTGTAGTTTTCACGAAAATTCTGAGCATGAAACGTGGGGCAGCAAAGTTCATTCCAGAATTGTTGAATTTTCACCAAAAAAACATTCGCATGAGTTTCGCTCAGGATTTGTTGAATGACGTCAACGGCAATCCAGATTTGCTTGAAAGGATCATAACTGGTGATGAATCATGGGTATATGGTTATGACATCAAAACCAAAGTCCAATCGTTCTAATGGAAGAGCCCAGGGGAGCCAAGACCAAAAAAAGCACGGCAAGTTCGATCAACTGTCAAGGTTTTGCCCACTGTTTTCTTTAATTACCGTTGCGTTAGGTTAAGTTAGGTTAGGTCCAAACTGAGTGAGTCTATTCGATCCGCCATCATAACCCGCAAGAGTTTATTGTGGCCCACACCTATTTACACTCTACCAAATAAACCCAGCTTCTTAACGAAGCCGATTATTTTGTATTGTGAGTGATCTTTCAGGTCAGATGTTAAGAGTACGGCTCTGCCGTACTTTGGGCAAGCACAAAGTATGTGCTCTTCTGTTGCATACTTTTCCGAACAGAGGTAACATACAGTGTCTTCCGATAGTACGAGTCTTTGGGAATGATGATTCAAATGACAGTGACCTGTAAGAAGGCCTGTTAAGACATCGTAGTTCATCCCTACTGTAGTCCAACAACTGTTTAGTATCAAACTTCGAAGGGTAAATAAACGCCTTGAAGTGAGCCAATCCTAGAAGATTCTACCAGAAGTCCATAAATCTTCCTGCCATCCAGGTGTTCAATCTTGGTTTGACGAAGCCTAAAGCGATGCCAATGACAGGTTCTGGTCCGATGAAGCTGTTTGCAGCACCCTCTTTTGCAAGGGAGTCAGCTGCCTCATTGCCTTCCAGGCCAGTATGGCCAGGAATCCAGACCAGAGACAATCTGTTGAGTCTTCCTATCGGGGAGAGTCGTTTTTGGCAATTTTTTACCAATTTAGACGTTGCCCGGTAGGAGCCAAGAGTTTCTAACGCCGCTTGAATGTTCGAGAATATTTCAATTGACTTGTGTATGAGTTTTGATTCTAATCTCTCCGCACACAACTCAATAGCGTAAATTTTCGTGGCTTAGTGCATCAGGTCAATAAGAAGTATTGAAGTTATGCTTGCGAGAAGCAATACAAAGAAAACGTCCGGTATTGTGGAAAAACAATTGATGGCTTTTGCATCACGATAATGTACAGGCTTACACGTCATTGCATGTTCCTAATTTGTTGGTCAAAAACAACACCGTAAGTATGCATCAGCCACCGTATTCACCACATTTAGCCCCCTGCGACCTCATCCTGTTCCTAAGATTGAAGAGATCAATAGGAGATTGGAAACTGAATCGTCAAGAGAGCTCAAGGACATACCAAAAAAGGCATATCAGAACAGCTTTGAGGACTAGAAAAAACGCTATCACAAGTGTATTTTCCTGAAGATTCGTGAAGAATAAAAACTCAAAGTCGTCTCCTCAACTTATCATCACCCTCAGTTGTTAGAATGGTGAAACCATCAATCAGTATATGTTTCGAACCTATATAGGTTCATCATCAGCTAATTACCTAAAATTCTACAATAAAAGAAGAACAACATAACAATAGTTAATACAATAAAGTATAAAATACTTACATGGAAAAGAAAATATTTTATAATGGAGAAATACCAATGAACAAGTCATCACAATGACATGTTAATAACATTGAAAAAATATTTTTTTAGAAGTAGTAAAAACGGCGGAAGTTTATAACATCACATTTATAAAAAAATGAAGGCTTAGAGCGTTTATACCCACTCATTAACATCAAAATCATAAAACGGAACATGAAAACAAATTATAATGAAAGATATCCGAACTCATTCATTCGGTTAGGATATCTTTCATTATAATTTGTTTTCTTGTACCGTTTTAGGATTTTGTCATTGTGATCATTTGTTCATTGGTAACATGTGACAATTTCCTTTTCTTCATTATAAAATGAAATATTTTCTTCTCCATGTAAGTACTTTATACTTCATTGTATATGTTGTCCTTCTTTTATTGTAGAATTTTGAATAATTAGCTAATGATGAATCTATATATAGGTTAGAAACGTGTACTGATTGATGTTTTTACCGTTCTAACATCTGAGGGTGAAAATAAATTGTGGAGACGACTTTGAGTTTTTATTTTTCGCAAACGTACTGCAATCCACTTTGAGATTTAATGGACTTCTACCACAGGTTATTTGAAGATAATGGACAAAATAGAAATTACGAATGATAATTTTTGAGAAAAATGAAAATTCACCTTATTTTTTAGTATACCTTGTATGTAGTTTACAATTCGCTCAGCTGAATAACTTTGAATTTTTATGGAACATATTGCAAAATCCCCTTAGGCGTAGACTTGTGTGAAACTCCGTGTGAGATTTGTATTCAAATAACGGCAAACACTACTCTGTAAATATTTATAAGAAAAATAAGCAAATTCAATTGGATGAAATCAATCTACTGATCGCTGAATTCCTCATCAATTATAAGAATCAAGAATCAGAAGAGTGTCCTTTTTTACCTTTTGGTTTCAGTAATATTTTGGACAAACTCAAATATAGATATTCAAAGCGAAAAATAAGTTTGAAGGTTTATCAATTCTAATTCTCAAAGCTTCTTTTCAAATTCAAGTATAGATTTTTTTTTCATTCTCTAGTGCATTATTCCTTTGATAATCATATACGCAGAGCATGGAAACTATATTATATAGTCATGATTCAGATAGGCTCCACTTGATTTGGAGGTAAATGAGGGAAACTTGGGTGAAGTTTTCAACAAATGCGTGTGTCAGTTGTATCTTCAATAACACAAACAAATGTTTCAAATTGTGCAGATGGATTCACCCCAGTTTCTCCCAATATTCAAAAAATATATTGTAGAAGAATTCAACTGTGTTTGGCAAAAGGTGCAAAAACGATATTGCTACCAGAAAGGAAAATAAACAGTTATTGAATTATTCAACGCAACAGACCACAAATAGTTTTGAAAATGTCAGTATTTGCATTTTGATTCACTTATCCTATGATATTTGGTGAAAGCTGCAAGTGGAAAATGATTCCCTACAGGTAGCAATATCGACATAAAGACTCTGTTACTTGTGCAGGCATCCAATGATCAGAACTGGGTGTGAAATATCAAGATTCCGATTGAAGCAAGGACCGGACTCAGTTCTATCAAAAATCAACATGATAATAGTAATAATAATTGTGATATCACCTGACCACCTTCTCCTTCTACACTCTGCAATTCCCGCCACTCCTCGATTGTCTGCGCCAGGTCCACAGTGCACAAGGGGACCTTCACTTCTCCTATCTGGTCATGTTTTGAAAATCGGTCGAAATCAAAGATGGCGAATACGAGGGTTTTGTTCATAGCTTCGGAATACGGGAGACTCTGAAAAAAAATTTACAATCAATCCGATTTCTTCTCTTCAGGTTAACATTATCAAAACTGGATCAAATATCATAACCAGTCAATAATGAGTATTTTATACGCAATTTTTTGAACTCCGAGTTAGTTCATAGGAATCAAAGCCTTCTATCGCAATTATGACACTTGAATTGATGAGAAGTATCTATAGCCGCACGTATAACCGTTTGCTGGCTTAGCGACGCATATCGTCGCGACGGATCGCCATGCGCTAGCGACTGTGCGATTCTCTTCCCACTGGTTTGACGTTACGTTATCTGTCTTGCCACACTGAACTCGGATACCTATGCTGTATACAGTTGGGTTTACTGCAGTATACATAACATGGGTTTTACTGAATGAATATTTTTTTAATAATCGAAAATAAACTATGTCTGACAGTGACAGTTTAGAAAGTGGAAATGATCAGCCTTCTATCGAATCATCAGTAAATTTATTATATTTTTATATTTTATAATTCAAGTGCCATTTACCTGTGCATTAAGTCCGCGTATATTTGGTCTGCCTCAAGGATCATTAAATGCAAAATCTACTCTCTTGGTAGACTGAAATTCGCGCAATTTTCATAGCATATAATAGTTTTAAATTTTTTATTAATTAATGTTGATTTCATTGTTGTGAAATACACTAAAACACTTGCTTGAAGAGCATAAAGGCTGACAAAATTGTATTTCAAAATTTATATTGAAACATTTATTATTAATATTTATAATTTAAGATGTAGTTATATACCGCACCCCTCCGAGTGGGTGCGTCCGACGACCCTTATTTTAGATAGGAAAAGTAGGTCGAATGGCACCTTGTTTTAAAGGTCTTTCGAATACCTTTACATCTCTTTTGTAACGATCAGTTTTCGAGATAATTTGAAGATTTAAAGGTATTTTTATTGAGTTCAACTCTTTTTAAAATAAATCAAATTGGTAATTAATACGTGTCCATTTGATTTCTTAAAAAAGTAAGAATCATTTGTTTATTGCGAGGAGATTTTTTCGGGGGATGGGGTTGGTTACCATCCTTACATTTTAGGTAAATTGAGTAGCACCTCTTTATGAAGGATGCCATTTGACGTGGATATTTTATGCTTCTGATAAAAAAGTGATAATTCGAATTGTTCTCAAAATCTTGCTATCGAAATTATAATGTTTTACAAGTGAATCTTAATTTTATAGTATTTAAACTAGAGTTGCCAGCTCTAAAATTTTTACAACAAAACAGATTGTTTAATGGCATTATTTTATATTATGTATTGTTAACTAATCTTGTTTAAGTTATTTAATTTTACATTATTCATAATCTTTCAAAAAAATTCAAACCGCATGTTTACCACCTTTCAGATATTTTCCACCAGAATCCGTAAATACTGGACAACACGCCAATCACTTCTTTCTGACATGATCATAGACACAATAATATGGACTGTCCGTGACGTCACTTTTAGATATATTCCACCTGCGAATCACACAACGTCTTGGCCATGTGGCCACAGAACCATGTGACAAATCAAATCATAACATTTTCGCAAAGGTGGTGTATGAATGAATTACGATTTTCGATCAGATCAGGCCATTGAAGTATAGTATAATCGACGCGACGATCAATGAGCCTACGATAAACACAATAGTAACTGTTTTAAATACAGTGATTGAAGCACCTTCATTCAATTCGATAATTTTTCGATTCGAACAACAAAATAGGCTATAGTACTTCAATAATACCATATCTTTTCAATTTTTGATATAATTTATTTAATAAGAATGAGTTCAAGAATATGTCTACGTTTGAAAATAGAATATGGTATGTTCTATACCTGATGAAAATGCTATCGTGTACTATAGCTGTACGCTAGCATTTCGGGTATGACAAACATGTTGTTTGTCGTTCGCTTTAGCCTAGTTCGAGGAATGATACTCTGAAAATGAGTCGATTTTCGATTAACGGAAATCATCGACTTTATGTTGATGATAGACACTTCCTTGCACTGACGAGTGCCAAACAGCCCGAAACCGGTCTGCAAGAGAGTTCCAATAATTGAAAATCTATTGCAGCAGTTGTATCGCCAACAGCATATGCAGGAATAACTTTAGTGAAAAATCCCGCACTGACACCTGTAGGATATAATCCAACGCCTTTCGTGGTATTTGCCGGGGATGTAGTTGTTTTCTGATAGGTGTCAGTACATTAACCTACAGTGTAGGTAGCTGAACTATCATTTTACCTACTTTTGAGATCTGTCCTAATTACAAATTTCCTCGTTGAAAACTAAATTCAATGAAGAGAACAATTCGAATATATCGGATCATAGAGCAAGAATCCCGAACTTTTACATCTATTGATTTCTAAAGAATAATAAAAACATAACACGAAATTTGTACAAACAGTATTGTGACGCCAGAAGATGCTGTTCTATCTCAAAATCTTGCTATCGAAATTATTATGTTTTTCAAGTGAATTCTGAATTTAAATTTTTTAGTATTTAGCCTTGAGTATCCAGCTCTAAAACTCTAAAGCAGGTTGTTTTATGGAATTATTTTCATTTTAGATATTTTACATTTAATCTTGTTTGAATTATTTAGTTTTTCATTATTCTCAAGGATCTGGTTTTTGTAAGGCTCCTACGGATAGTGTTCCCAGATCTGAAGCAGGTCCTGATGTGGTACTTGGACCAACCAATACTTAGACGTATTGGTAAAGAGAACCGATACTAAATGGGAAACATCTGTATATCGAAAACCCACTCACACAGGATAGTATCTGAACCAGAAATCCAACCAATCGACTAAGAGAGGAATCATCAAGACTCTACTAGACCGTGCTTTTGGGCTCTGTAATACAAAGGAAGGTCTCGAAAAGGAACTAGGCATCATCAAAAATGACCTACAACCAAATGGTTACTTCAGAGTGATGGTAGAACAGGCCTTAGCTAGAAGACAGCAAGAACTCCACAAGGAAGAGAAGCCGCCACAACCAGTACTTGTACTTCCCTACATCAGAGGATTATTGGAAAGGATAAGAAGGATTGGGTCCAAGTACAACATCAGGACCTGCTTCAGATCTGGGAACACTATCCGTAGCAGCCTTACAAAAACCAGGCCACCAAACGCGGACTGCGATTCCAAGAATTGCATTTACCGGGTACCTTGCGAGTGCGGAGAAGCATACATCGGTGAAACTAAGAGGTCATTGAAAGTTTGCATTGCTGAGCACAAGTAACACACACAGCAAGTAGAAACCAACAAATCTGGAATAGCAGAGCATGTTTGGACTCATCAACATAACATCAAGTGGGCTCAAGCTGAAATCATCCACAAGGAAGAACACTGGTTTAGAAGAAAATTCAAAGAAGCCGCATATATGTTGTCCAACAGCGCATTTAGCCAAGCTAGCGTAGAGATACGTAACATATGGAAACCTCTAATCAAGGGAAAAATGACCAATCCCCGCCAAACGGTCATCTCCCGCTAAAAAGCAATGAAGCGGAGAAAGTGAAGAAGGGATAGGTGAAAGCAGTCGAGCAACCTATAAATAGTGGGATCTCGGAGGAATAAGTCCAGTTATCACCTGAAGACGATTGTGAATACTAACAATCGAAACGTCGTGACAACATGAAATCTTTTAATTTTTATTTTTCATTTTTTGTTAATAATAATTTTTAATTTTTATTTTTCAGCTTCTATTATTATTTCAATTGTTATTTGTTTGGTTATTGCTTGTATGTTATTTCTTTGTAATTTCAGGTTTTTGTTTAATAAAATTGTTATTTTCGGCTTATCGTATTATTTTTTTTAATTGCTTTTTCAGGGTTTTCAAATCAATTTATATTATATTAGACAATGGAAGTCCGAACTGATGAAATCTTGTCTTGTTTACATCTAGCCAGTTATTTTTCTTATCCTATCTTTTCACAAAAGTTAATATACTTCTTGTGTGCATTAGGCATTCCTACTCACGATAAAATAATCGTGGGTCAAAACAGATGCTATGGCATATCATAGCATAACCGTGTCGCGGTTTTTCAAACTTACAAGTGGAAATCTCACATAGAAGTGTGTTTTTTGAATAACTAATGAAGTAAAATACTTTTATGATATTCCAACTGTTACATTTCCTTACGATCCAACAAATTGGGAAGCACTCGTATATATACTGCAAACAGTTCGTTATCTTTTCATTGTTCCATCACATGAGACAAAGACGAACCATTTTGTGCATATGTGTTGATATTCAGTGATCGCTTGTATTCTGGGATTTTCATTTCGCAATCATTACTGGTATATTATCGGGATCAAATATCTCATCTTGAGAATAACAACTGAATGAAAAGAGTGATACTGTTTCCAGTAGTACATAGGTAAGGTAATAGTTGTTCAGTTAAAAGTGCATCAACAAAGAAGTGGGAATTTGAAATTTTTGATAATGATCTGATTCGTTCCTTTGAAATCAAACAACCCTGGCAGATCATGAACATCATAATATATACATAGTATACACAATAAGGAGAGATTTTTGAATATTCCAACTGGGGCGCCAGCTGTTTCTCTATGGTTTTAAATTTCCGGTGGGTGAATTTATATTCAGTATTAGCATTGAACCCGTGCGGTGCCGGGGTGGTTCGCTACTCTGACATAAGTTAAACTTGTGCTCTTTGTTTTCAACGGTGATTTTCAAGGGTGGAATTTTTCCATTCCAATACATTCCACAAAACGCATTCGAATCCAACCAAACTTCTGGATGAAAAATACTGGAATCGGGTAATTTTCAGCTATAATATCCCAAGGACATTGATAACTAACGAAATAATTTTATCACAGTTTTCAAAAGCACGTTATTTGGTAACATCCCGACGCCGAAGGCGGAGGGATGTTACCTAAAATAACGTGCTTGAGGAAGTTGTGATAAAATTATGAGTTATTTATCAATGTTCGAGGGATATTCGGTGAGAAAATTTTTTGCAATTCGAACAAAATTATTCATTGAACACACAGTTATTAAAAGAACAATTCGTATAATGATATTCCGTTGATCTTGTTGTATTTGCCTCGGTTACTGCATAGGTGTTTCCACGCATACTATTGATTATTTGGTTATGATGTTCCTGATCAATATTCAAATAAGGTTTTATGGAATTTCCATTATTGTGCCCAGTAATTTTCAACAATTGCTATTCTTGAACTCCACTCTTAGCTAGTTGACTGACTGCAGTTGCTCTATTAGAGTGATTGGTTATTTTCCTCTGTTTCGTATCCAAGCCAATTGCTTCAGCAGAAGATTTCGTCCATCCGTTGATTATATTTCTACCCAGAGGCATATTGTCATACCAGTTATCGCTTCCTGTCTTCCAGTGACGATTTGGCCTTAAAAATAGTCTTTTTGTCTTGATATTTGTGCCTCGTTTTGATAATAATTTAATGAATAATCTGACAGGACAAGCATTGTTATCACTATTTTGAACTAACCATTTGCTAGAGGCGCAGTTCTTTGAACCCCCTTGGCAGGTTTTACTGAAAATTGGATTATATTCTATCCTATTAGTTGGAGATCCATTGTTGTCCTTTTCGATATGAAAATAATCAACTAAGCAAGCAGCACCTTCACCACCTCTCCAAGCCAATTCCACCGCTGCTATGTGATAAAATTTGCGTAGGAGTCCTATAGGGGTATTTTCATCCCAAAAGTTTATAATTTTACTCATTTCATTTGAAGTTAATGGTACTGAGCTTGTTTTGCGTTTAGTGGGATCTGTTTGTAAATTTCTTCGTGCTGCGTCGCGTGCATTCCGCGCTTGTTTGAATGCAACACTTTTAAAGGGGTCTAGCATGATATTATACTCCTTTTAATACTTTTCTTGTAATAATTTGCTTGTTATATTCCATACGGTTTTAACATTAGCCTCCTTAAACTCTGTGCTATACTTTTTTCTCATATTAATCGCCCAATCCTTGAGTATTAATGCAAGCTCTTCGAGAGTACGATTTCCATCCAATTCATATTTTCTGGCATCACAAAACTCCATAAATATTTTCCAAGTGTATTTTTTACTATTGACAGTATTTTTTGGTGTATTTTCTTCAATGATTTTGTCAATTGCCGCATCATTTTGAACACCAAAGCGAGGAAGTGACATTTTCGAAATAAATTGAATTACTGAAATGTCAAACAACTTTATTGTGTTGGTTGCTTAGCAATGTCATGACATAAGTGATAATAGTTATCAGTGTAATGATGGTTTCATTGGTTATTTCGACACACATGACTAGAAATAGACAAATTTGATAGGATAATTTTTTTGGCAAAAATTTTCGAAAGGATGACAATCAATAACAATTCTCGTGAATAAAGTGGAGTTTTATTGCTTTTTTTCGATTATTTGTGTTTCATGTTCTTTGCATCATGACTCGCTCAATAATAATGAAACTGACATTCAACACTGCTCATTCTAGGAGTGTTTATATACACTATGAAAATCTCCTGAATTGTTTCCAAAAAATGTATTGCGTTAAACATTCCTGAACCTAAACGCTAATGAGAAAATCATTCTGTTTGTTTTTCTCTAGCTATTATTTCTTGAATCACCCCCTATTTTAACAAATTTCACGTCAATCTGTCCAGGTGAGAATGAATCGTACGGAAAACAATGACATATTAAATGTAAACAAAAATAATAATTATACAAACATAGTTGTTTTCCGTCAGGCATTTTTCAAATTCTACCAGATTTAGAAAATCTTTGTGGGATCAATATTTTGAATGCAATACGAAATAATTATTTCGATAGCTTATCTTAGCTTCGATAGCAAATCTTCCTGTAGACCAAATTATATAGAATAAAAAATTTCAACACTGATAAGTATTTCAATTTTAGAAATGTCTTTATATGAATTCACTAGTAGAAATACGTTAACCGAAATTCAACAAGTTATAATACGAGGAATTGTGCTGATTTCCAAATTCTCTACTGTAAATATGTCGAAATCTCCTGAATATTTGTGTCTGGAGATTTTCAATAAACTACTCAAAAAATTGTCAGTTGTGCTAATATTCATCTTTTGGTAAATAAATCTATTATTATTATTATAACTCAGGTGACAGCTATGTATAATATACTCGAAAAAACTATGTTATTAGATGAATTTTTTAATCAATAATCTTTCTTGACAGAAATATGAAAATTGAATCGGAGAAGAGTTTTCAACGTTTTGAAAGGTGATAAGCTAACATTCCATCCACCTAATAACAGATTTCGTCGACAATACAATGGAAAAAGAAGGCTATGGATGGAAAGGGACATTTTTTCAATTCGTCGCAGCCATAACAGGTGAATTTCACAATTATTATATCAATTGATGGTTACAGATCTATACTTCTCTGAAGAGAGTTATGATTATATTATTATTAATATTATTTTCACAACGATATCTAATGTACATATTGTGAATAAAGTAATATCACGTGAGCATTGCTGCGTGTTGTGGATATACATACATATATAAGGCTAATATAAATTGTGGGAAAGAAAGTTTTTGGCTTTCTACTAGTCCATCTTGACACAAAAAAGAGAGATATGCTGGGAATCTTCCAAAAAAATCTTCCAAAATAAGTAACTCTATATATGGATGTGTAGATCATGCAAAGAAGTAACTTTCAGAAACAAAATGGAAGAAAGTCCTCCTGAAACAGCTATTTTCATATAAACATTGAATTACACGAAAGAAAAAAATTCTTTCGAAACAAATACTCTTATATGAACACTGAATTATACAGAAGATACTTTTCCCTACTCAGTTTGTATTCCAAACATTCATTATGGAATAAAATCAGATATCATTCACATTAATATAGAATAGAGAAAATACTTTTGTCTAGTTTCTACTGTGTTTATTTATTCGTTACGACCGGTTTCGGCTTATAAGGCCATTTTCAAGTAACTACCACAAATTGTCAAGTTGCGTCTTGGATAGTGTGGACAGGTATCTGCTCTAGGTACCTGACCTAACACGTTACCAATATTATAATATGTCACGATTACCAACTATTGGATGGATCTTAAAATCCCCAAATTCAAAAGGGGCGAGCTGCATAGATCTAGTTGGTCGTTGAGCTTTATGAACTTGGGGTCCTTGTACAATTTATTTATTTCCAACGCTTCCAATAAATTCATCCCCCTTCCTTTGTTACATGTATAAAGAATTTTCATGTTTCCTTTATTTTTTGTATGGTTTGTTTCTTTTAGATGTCTATATATGGCTGATTTTTTATCTGATAATACATGTTCTTGGTATCTTATGTCGAAGTTTCTGCCTGTCTGACCTGTATAAGCTGCTAGGCAGTCCCCACCTTCTAGTCTGTATATTCCCGATTTTTTCCATTTATCCCTTTTAGGTTTTGCGTTGAATAACATGAATTCCTGAATTATTCTTATTAGAAAATGATGTGCTTATGTTGAGTTTTGAAAAATAGTTCTTTTTATTTTCGGATAGCTTCCCTGAATAACTTATGATAGCATATTTTTTACCTTCTTTATGTTCTTCCTGATCTAGGTATAGTTCCTTCATGATCAATTCATTGTTCTTATTGGAGATCAGTTTTTCAATTAAGTTGGCGAGAAAATGGTTGTTATATGCCATCTGCTTTATGATCTTAATTTCTTCTTGAAAAACCTCCTCTGATGACGGTATCATAAATGCTCTATTTATCATAGATCTGAAGGCCGATAATTTGTGTGATAATGGACTGAAAGAATCCATCGGTATTGTACAGTCCGTGAAGGTGTTTTTTCTATAGATGTTGAACTGAAATTTATCATTGCGTTTTGTAATAGTGAGATCCAGGAAGTTAATGCTGTTGTTTTGTTCTATTTCGACCGTGAATTTCACCTTATCGTGTAGAGTATTAAGGAAGTTCACGAACTGGTTTATCAGTCTCTTCGAGCCGTCAAAACCCACGAGGATATCGTACACATATCTGAACCAGAATAAAATGTCTTTTTGGGATAAGGCATTCTTCAGGATACACGTGTTTTCTAAGTTGTCCATAAAAATGTCTGCTAATAAGGGGCTCAATGGTGACCCCATTGGGAGGCCTGAATTTTACAGGTAGAAGTTATCATTGTACTCAAAGTAATTTTGTGTCAGACAGATATGAGAGAGGTTGCATAGTTCCTCAGTGATATATGGAATAGTATTCTGTTTATCCAATAGGTCTTTCAGCAGAGGAAGGCTTTCGTCCGACGAAAAAGTATTTTCTTTATTCTATATTCAACATGAATTTCTACAAAATGAATAAGTCATCAATCGAACGAATCATTCACATGAGTTCTATATAAGTAATTTCTACAAGTAATATAACAATATCAACATTCAGAGTAATATTAGAGGTCACATTCGAGAAGAAAAAAAACTATGCTAAATCAATTTGTATGTAAAATGTATATACATGTATATATTACAATATTAAATACAATTAAAATTCCAATATATAAATTTAAGAGTGTTAGAGTGTAAAAAACATTTTTGAACAATTGCCAAAGTGCTGAAGTCTCAGTTGGAAAACCCTATACTGCATTGTAATAGAAAGAGATCATGTCCTGGACAAATGTTATGTATATGCGGTGAACCAATGATAAAATACTAGTTAGAATTGATTGGATATCTCCTACGCTGAGAAGAAATAGTATTTCAAAACCGTTGAAAAGGGTCTGCTGCTGAACAAACGAAAAGTATTTGAGAAAATCTCCTTCATGAGAAAATTTTGTATGAATGTCTTTCGGATACGATCCGATGTCAGTCGCGGCATTAGACTACGAAATAGTTGTTATCGGCAGGTATTGACAAAATCCTACTCGATATTCCGAATTTGAATTCGAAATATTTATTTTATCAGTGCCTACAAATTTTTCCATGACACAGGCATCATATACATTTGAATTGTGTTATATGGACAAATATGGAACATAAACTACAAACAGGCTTCTGGCTTTGACAAAATACAGAACCTTTATATCACGCTTGAAAAAAATTGAGTAGGTTTCCCTTTATTCTTCTGGTAATGGAGTGATAATGTCATAAACAGCTTTCGACACCCAATACATTCCTATAAACTATATCATCTGTTATTCAATTTTCAGCAAACTTGCTCGCTATAACGGATGGAATGACCATAGGATGGACGGCACCGATGATCCCATACTTCATGAGCGAGAAAACACATATCAAAATGACGAGATCCCAAGCTGATTGGTTGGAAAACTTCCCTTTAATTGGATCCATTGTCGGACTACCCTTCACCATGCATTTAGTGGACAAAATCGGTAGAAGAAAGTCTCTGATGTTTTCCGCTTTTGTCATGACACTATGTTGGATCGTCATCGCGGTTGCAGATAGAGTGGAATACTTGTATGTAGCGAGGGCTGTCAAAGGCTTCGGCCTGAATATTGCCTATGTTGCAGCGCCCATGTATGTGGGAGAGATATCGCACAAGAAAATCAGAGGATTTCTCTCCAGTTCGATATTTGTTCTGATGTTGGTAGGCATACTTATTATATACAGCGTAGGCTCCTTCGTAGCATTTTTTGTGCCTTCTGTGATAGCTGGAAGCTTGTTACTGAGTGAACTGGTGATCTTCTTCGTCTTGCCAGAATCACCATATTATCTATTGATGAGGAACCAAACTGATGATGCTAGGAAATCGTTGCACAGGTTCGTATTGATACTCAGTTTGGCTCATTTTTATGAACACTTAGAAGGTTAATTCCATAACATTGCTATTTTGGCTTCAAATACAGAAAAATTGTTTTATTGCCTAACTGGAACCTTCGAAAGCGAAGAAAGTATAGAAAGCAGAAGGCAGATAAGATTGATGGAACGAGAGAAGTGTGAGAGGATGATAGTTAGATATCACAAAAAAATGGTGCGACAAAAACTTGGATGGAACTAATAATGTTTCAAAAAAAATATCTGAAGAATCGAGAGACAATATTTCTAGCAAGGAACGGTTTCATGATTTCCAATTATGTTTTAAAAAAATTTTCTGAAGTTTTTTGCAGATTTTCAATAAGTAAACCTTCAGATGTGAAGAGATACTTCATCTGCAACTTAGAGATGAACGGTTCAAAAATTCATATTTCTTGCATGACATTTTATTTGTTCGACCAGCAGCTTTCGAATATTCCTATCTTATTCTATTTAAAATTGAAATGGTATAATTTAAACAGAGATACATGTTTGGGAAAAACAGGTTTTGGCTTTCTACTTCTCCATCTTGATACAAAAAATGTGGGAATCTTCCAAAGGAAGAAAGTAAGAAATCATTTTGAAATATTAACTCTAGAAGTGACTTTCAGACACAAGCTGGAAGGAAAAACCCTCTCAAAACAGATATTTTCATATAAACATTGAATTACATATAAAAAAAAATTCGAAACAAATACTTTTTTATGAACGCTGAATTATATATCCGTTTGTATTCCAAACATTCGTAATGGGATTGAATTAGATATCATTCATCGTGTAGGATTCCTACATGATATAATTGATGAAAGAAACAAATTTCACTCACATGGAACACTGTCCTGTAGACATCTTGATGTTACGCCGTAATACACTTGCCTTGTTGGTTCTTCAGTACTAAATACGGATAACATTCTAAGAAAGAACACTCAATTCGTTCATAAAATTACTACTTTTTGTCACGGAACGGGTCGAATACACCCATGTCATCGTGAAAGTACTATTATACTCATGATATTTTTACTATTTACTTCGTTTTTCAGATTCCGAAATAATCCAGCCACAGTGGAACAGGAGCTGAAAGAAATGAAAGACTCAATAGAGAAAGACCAGAAGGAAGAAAAATCATCACTCTGGGATATTTTCCTAGTGCAGAGTTACCGCAAACCTTTAATCATTATATTTGTTCTCAACTCTGCTCAACTCTTAAGCGGATTCGATGTTATTTTGATGAATATGCACGAGATTCTAGAGAGCGCCGGAACGAACTATGTAGATCCTTCCTTCACCGCTATTATTTTCTCTGCCTTTATGTTAGTAGCTTCGACTGTGGCTTCTTTAACAATTGATAAATTTGGGCGCAAAGTACTGCTGATAGTTTCCAGCCTCCTTACTGGGGTATGTCTATTGATTTTGGCATCATACCTCAACATGAAGCATTCTGGATACAACGTGGAGTCGGTTAGTTGGATTCCTATAGTTACAGTGATGGCATATGCAGCTAGTTTCAAATCTGGGGTCGGACTGGTGCCTATAGTATTGACAGCTGAGATATTCTCTGCTAAAATTAAAGCTGCGAGTATGTGCCTTGCCGATGCAGTGTACGTCGGTTCTTCTATGGTAGCTCTGCAATTGTACTTCGTCCTGAAGGAGTATTCAGGAATGCATGTTCCCTTTTACGTATTTTGCTGTTTTACATTTTTGAATTCACTTTTCGTCTGGTTTTTTGTTCCTGAAACTAAGGGTAAAAGTCTTGACGAAATTCAGAATATATTTGGAAATGAAGTGCCTGAGAATCCAGAGGAAACTGTTGAACTAGTGAGTGCGAAGATTCTGTGAAGAATGATAATGTTTTAGACGTTATTCACGAGCCTAGTCGGGCTCCGAATATTACCTTAAATTTTTTAAGACAGTTTGCAAAAATTATGCACTTGTAAGTCCAACTTAAGAGTACAACAACTCATTATGTTTTTTATAGAACGGTCACTTTGACAGAGCTCGGGACAGAGTATCATAGCGACTAGGCGAGTCGTCATCTCAGTAATATTTTTCTCGTTCCTTGATAATTTATTATTTATTCGCCAATCACCAATACAATTTTAAATTTGAATAACAGTAGATAATTGCTGGTCAATAACCTAATTTCCATTCAACTTTCATTAGAACAAGTTGGAGCAACATGCATGTTTTGTTCGATAATATACTCAGAGTTATATTCATAAATTCAATTCAAACGGAACTCCTATGGCTAAAACAATGTGGGTATGCTTAGCTCTTTAATCTAATCCTGGGATCAATATTTTTCAATTTATACCCGTAAATAGTCGGTAATTTTTTTTATTTTCAATTCAACGAGAAAAATGTTGATGAATAAAGCTGTTTGAAATCAAATATTCTACAATTCTGGTCGTTTTCAATTTTTTCGTAGGATTGATATTCTTCGATTGGTACCCAAGGAAAAGAGGAGGTAAAATCATATCATTGGAAAATCGCGTTTACTTTCAATTTTACGAGAAAAATTGTGATGAACAATGTTGTTCAAAATCAAATTTTCCCAAGTTATAGGACACTTAAATTTTGATAAACTCTCGTAGTAACTATTTTTCGTGTGAAATTGAAAATAAACGAGTAATTCAATAAACAAAAATCAACCGTTAAATTCAAGTCACCCCCTATAAAATTCTGAAAGAAAATTGCCAGTAAAAATTTAAACGTTGTCAAATCCTAATAAGACTGGACTATTTTTCTTTCTTGTAATTCAATGTTCAGGTGAAAGTAGTTTGTTTGTATCTGAAAGAAAAATCTGTGCATAATCTACACTTCATTGTGAAAAAAAATCTGTTTTTTCAATAACCAGCTTTCGCTCCCCTACTAACAACAACTCTCAGAAGTCAAAACTGGAGTTCATTCTGAACCTAAATCAGAAATATTACTGGAGTTTTTTCCCAACACCAAATCGTTATTTTTAACACTTCGACACGTGTTTCGATCACCAAGTGATCATCTTCAAGAGGAAGATAAAACTGACTGACGTTTTATCTTCCTCTTGAAGATGATCACTTGGTGATCGAAACACGTGTCGAGGAAGATAAAACTGACTGACGTTTTATCTTCCTCTTAAAGATGATCACTTGGTGATCGAAACACGTGTCGAGGTGTTAAAAATAACGATTCGGTGTTGGGAAAAACTCCAGTAATATTCATTACTACACCAAAGGTTCCAAACAGTACATAATAAGTACTAAATCAGAAAGCCAAAAAGCATCTCCAACACATTTAAACTGGCCGCCACTGTTTTTAAGGCACCGAATATCACATGTATTGCAAAAGAATGTATGCCAATTATATTATAACACAGCTTATCGATCGTTAATATGTGACAGCGTTGCCATATCAAACAAATTTCTCTAAAATGGAGGTAAATGGAGTGGAGGTAAAAGTTCAACCAGTTGAATGTCTCGTTCGCTAAGCAAGTGGTATCACATGAATTTTGATTAATTGAACTTGGTGTACGAAGTATATATTACGTTGGGATTATTTCCAGAAAAAAAAAAGGATAACATGAACTCAAAATTCCCAGTTCCAAAATGCAAACTCTAGGATTTATGTTAAATATCTCTAAATTTTCAAGTTTTGCGAATTATCTTGACTGGTGATCCACTCCAGATTCGCATGGCTCACACCTTCACTGATTTCTCAGTTGATCCCATAGATAGGAGAGGTCGTCCACCTCACTTACTCAGGCTTATCTTTCAAAGATAGTCGAGACCAGCAATGCATTTGTGATTCAGCCTAGCACCACTAACATATCGAAACATCGCTGTCTGATGTTGAATCATAAATGCGTTGTGTTTGGGCTCTGGTTTTCAACCAGTTTTCTCTAGATATCTTTATAATTTTCTTTGGAAAACATATGTATCTCTTTTCTCATACCGAAAACCTGTTGTCCCGGTCTTATGATCAACCACAGTAATTACTGATTTATCTGATAATGGAAATTATAAATAAAAATAAAAAATTGTCATTTTTATGTTGAACCGAATCCCCGAAAAACCCCTCTAAAGCTAAAGGAGTTTTACGTCAATCGTGTGGTCTAAGCACACTCGCACTTTAATATTTGTCAACAACGCACTAACATTATCCGATATCGCCAGAAGTGCGGGTTTGTTAAATCGTGAAACATCGGCAATGGATAAAAATATTTGAAAGGTGACAATGAAATAACATTTGTGATGCACAGGAATGTCTGTCGTTTTGATGTGATTTAAACATAAATGAGGTGAATAGACTTTACATAATTTATTTTTTTCAGTAGTGTGTAAAATGAATTGTATATCCATGTGTGAATATCAGGATTAATGTACATGATGCCATTGCGGATATGCCAACTTCATGAAATGATTCCTCTGAAAATATTTCTTTTGTAAGCAGTTACACACCTACGTATGGTCTACAATGATAGGTTGTTCCAAAAGTTCTGCCCGTTTATGAGTTTACTTTAAACTGTAATATCTCAGTAAATAATTATTCAATTCAATCAAAATAATTGCCTTTTGAATCAGTACATTTTTGACAACGAGTCATTTCGTCAGCATGAAAATTGTGTACCGGTATTCGATGAAGTCGCCAAAGGCCGTTTCTACTCAGTTCTGATCGCTGAAGCTTCTACCTGAAGAAGTTATCGAAGTGCTTGAAAAGTTGGTAGTCATTTGCCCTAAGGTCTGGAGAGTATGGTGGGCGAGGCAGAACTTCGACATTCAATTCGTTTAAATTTTGTGACTGGGATTTGTGAAACGTGCGAACAAGCGTTGTCGTGAAGCATGAAAGGACATCTTCTGTTGACCAGTGCCGGCTGCTGTTGATGCAATTTTCGGTACATTTCGTCGATTTTCTCACAATAGCACTCTGCTGTGATGCTTTGACCCAATTGCAGAAAGTTATAGTGAAACACACCAGCCGCTGACCACCATACAGTAACCATAGTCTTTTTATGTGGTTTTCGCCTTTAAGATGTGCCTGGGTAGCTCATCGGTGCCCAACCACCGTCTTGAATGTCTCCTGTTGTCGTGAAGGATCCACTTTTCATCAGACGTGACGATCCGATCCAAAAAAGGATCGCTTGTGTTGCGCAAAAGCAAAGGAGAACAAACCTGGAAACGTGATCATTTCTGTAGATAGTTCAAACCGTGGGGCACCCCCTTTTCAAGCTTTTTGACCTTTCCAATACGTTCAAAACCATGGGAATTGACGCCCAGTTTTTCGCCATCCCAAGCACCGTTTGTGATGGGTCAGTCTCCTGGTCATTGTCCTGGATTACTGTAGATCGGCTCATCTTCGAGGCTCAAATCTCCGGAAAGAAATTTTCCAAACCAATGTTGAACAGTGCGTTCCTTAACATTTTCATTGCCAAATGCTTGGCTAATTTTTCGGATTGAGGCAAAACATTTGGAAAAAAATGAACATTATCAACTTATAGAGTACAAAATTTTCTATCGACACTGAAGAATAAACAATTATTGAGATATGGAGCTACCAAAACACATGATATTGAAACGGACAAATCTTTTGAAACAAGCTAATATTTTACTTTATATGCCCGCAAGTGAAAACATCTAACCAGAGCCTTGTTGTCTTGATATTTCTCACATTTGATTTTTCAGTTTGATTCCCAAATAAACATAGCGACACAGAATGGCCGATCGCAGTGCGACACGCCACGGTTTCTTTTTGACAGTGCGTTTTTTTTGGGAGCAGCATAACATTGTCGAAAAACTATGTAGGGCTGGTAAGGGAGATAAACGTTTTGAATTTTATGCAAAATATTCATTTTTTCATGCATATTAAGGTATCCTCGACAGTTATCCTGAAGTTAGAGAATAGTGTTTCAAAAAATCACAAGTTGAGATCTACATTCACCATGAAATCTATAAAATTTTTGACTTCAAGTCGACTTCATTACATCAAAATTAATCTTCATTCAGTACGTGCCGAATTGCTGTTTGCGGTATTACAAAAACAATTAAATTCAATGAGATTTACAAATAATCAATTGTAGGTACTTTTTTGACCGTGTTTTCGGAATATCTGCAAGTATTTTTGATTTTCTACTGAACATTAGATAATATTATTTGTATTTTCCGTGACTACAGATAGATTTGTACCCTCAGAACAGAAAGATGGCGCACCAAGTACGAACGTACCTGAAGAAGCTATTATATAGTGAAACAGGTATTGTGATTTTGTATATTGTTCAATAAAAAATCTCACTCTATTACTTTATGGTCTGGAAGTATTATTGAATTCCACCAGATATCATAAGCACCCTTCACCAATCGACAAAAACCATAGAGTCCGAGAAAGTTCAATCTTTGCACTGATTTTATTCTTCAACATCATTTTCTCCATATTGACTTGCACTGGAAGATTTTTTTACTTCTTTGAAAAACTAATTTTCTAACATTGTCCGTTTAATTTTTCAACAATTCAAAAGTTTTTGTTCGAATACACAAAGTCATATCGTTTATGTCTTATATGCGTGATTGATGACTTGTTTATTTTGTGGTACTTCATGAAATGAATGAAAACACATTTTGGCAGACATTTTCATGGATACACTATAGCAGGGGGGCACACGATGCAAAATGGGGATTTACTCGAGCGTCATTCGGACATAATAGGTTGCAAAAGAAAAAAAAGTTATATAATATATACCTTTTCATCGGTGGTGGAAGCGGCTATAGATTTTTAAATATGTAAAAAAATACTGTTGCATGGACATACTCGAGGGCGTCAGATATTGATAGCATCAATGTCCTACGTATTTTTAATAATGTTGGTATGTTAATCTGATCGTTTGCATGATGTGGGTGGTTGTACGTAACGGATAAAAGTGAAAAAAAAAATTAATCGAGTGCGTCAGATTTTCTAAGGGGGTGTTGAAAAAAAGCTCTCATTCAATAATCTGACGCAAACTCGCGGCTATTATTATAATGTGCAAAAAAAAATCGCCATTTTGAAATACTCAAGAGCGTCAGATTAAGATATATATGGTTCATCTTTATGTTTTAGACGTGCTGTCTCATAATCTGACGATTATCTAGAGGGATTCGCTTAATCTGACAATCAATCGATTAATGAAGAAAAGAGAAATGAAACTTTCTATGTTCCTACCACTTTTATTTGTAACTAACATTACTGTAGTTTCGTCCTATAAGGACATTTTCAAACTTATATATTGTATAAGTTTGAAAAAGAATAGAGTGTGGAAAATTCTCTGCAGTATATACAGGCCAAACCGGTAGAAATTTTGACGTTAGGCTCCGTGAACACGTTTGTTTGGACAAAAAATCTACTATGTATGAACATCAGTCGGTAGCCAAGCGGTTCGGCGTGGGTGCTTTGTTCACTCACTCGAATTGACTGCCGTGTTGGTCGGTGGTTCAAGCCCTAGTCTGAACGATCGATCTTCACTTGCTACCGTCCAACCCGTGTTAGGAATCACACGTTAAAAGGTAAGACCTCGTTAATCCTTACCTCGCACAAGTTTCGACTTCTGAGGGTTGTCGTTCGTAGGGGTGCGACAGCTGGTTAACGGAAAAACAGATTTTAAACAGATTTTTTTAAACAGATCTTTGAGAATCAAAACACAAGATAAGTAAAGATGACCTCAAAGTCCTACACATATTATGTAATAAAGGAAAAAAAATTAATTTGTTGGAAGTCATAGAAACTAACAAATCTATTGAAAACCTGAAATATATACCCCCAAACGAGCAATTCGATTTATGTAGGTCACCACTATTGAATTTATAAGTTTAACAACCCCTATAATCTTCAGTGTTGAATTTTAAAGTTGGCACCCTGGTTCCTTCAACTACCTGTCCTTCTGTCCCACCCAAAAACTCCCTGAAATTTCACATCTTAGTTTTATACTCGATAATGGGTCGTATAAATGAAATCAACTAGTGATAATTAGACAAAAATGTTTTTATTCATTAAAGTCCTTATGTATCAGTTTTAATAATAGATTTGAAAAAGTCTATGAATAATAATTTGAATTTTCAGGTTTTGTTCCTTTTCCAATCTCGCCATATCGAATAAAAATTTCGGGCGATTCTTTTCATTCATTGATGTATTCATCACTTTGATATCGTCTATTCATTGAAAGAAGTCCAGTAATGGCATAGGTAAAATTCAAAAATAAATCCTCCCTGCAATCACAGATTATTTCCATGAGAATTTCACCAAAGTTACTCTACAAATCTTATCTCCAATGATAGTAGTGATATAATTTGTGATATATCGATAGGTCATCACATTTGTTGGCAGAAATGAACAAATTAGATTAAAAACGCTTCCTGACGTATTCAAAAGTGACCCAAGGACAAGTCATCCGAGTATCCAGAATGGTAGAGGAAAGCTTTGGACGAAAAGGAACCTTTTTCCAATTTTTCGCATCTCTGATTGGTGAGTATCACGAATTAGTTTGATGAAATCATTATCTCTAATCAATACGTCAGCTGCTGCCTGACTAGATACAAATTACGAAATCTAAACATTGACGCCTTTGGTTGAAATAGGTTACTAGATTTGTTAAAGTGAACATTAATCGGGCAAAGAAAATAAATGGAGTTTCAGTTCCGAAATAGTATTGGATTGTTTCAAGTTTTGTCTGTTTTTAGAAGTCTACTTCGAATTATAATATCTCAGACAATTTATTCGAAATGAGCGCACTTTGAATCGGTGCCAACGTACAACAATTCATTCTGTCTGCATAAAAATTGTTTGCTCGGGATTCGATGAGGTTGACGAATGCCGTTTCTGGGATGGTCCTGATTGGCGAAAGTTTTATCGGTGAGAAAGTTATCGAAGTACTTGAAAAGTTGGTAGTCGATTGACTGGAAAGTATGGTGGGGGTAGCAGAACTTCGACACTCATTTCATTCAATTTTTGGACAGTGATCTGTGACGCACTTTTTGGTACATTTCGTCAATCTCCTCAGGGTCCCTGAATCCTCATCCTACTTTAGGTCAGCTATTTCGTAGCTCATCTTGTAGACTGAAATCTCTGAAACGAAATTTCGCAAACCATCGTCGAACAAGGGGTTCATCAACACTATCATTGTCAAATTACGGGTTAATTTTTTAGACTGTTTTGGCAGCGCTTCGGTTCAATTTGAATTCTTAGAGAAAATTTGAGCGGAACTCGCTCAACAACAGCATAAGCAAAACATTTAGATTCGAAAAAATATTTCAACAGCATCAATCAGCATCAGAATACACAATTCTCTGTCAATCAGTATATACCAGGACACAGTATAATGAATATTTACTGGGATATGGAGCTACATTAACACATGACATTTAAACAGACAAAACCTTTGGAACAACCTAATATTTCACGTTAGAAGTCCGCAAGTCCAGACTTCAAACCAGAGCCTTGCTGCCCTGAATACTGAAGAAGGAAATATTAGACTTGCTTACGGTTTGTTTGTCACAGAATTACTTTCAATTTAAGTACATTTTTTACTCATCTTATCCCACATAATGGGATAACCACTTAGTCCTATTCTGGGAGAGATTTTCATAGACGATTTGGAGAGAAAAATACACAGTAACCCACTGGTGAAAAGTTTCGTGTATTGGTATAGATATGTAGATAATATTCTGGTATGTTTCACGGGAACGAACAGACAGTTGACTAAGTTTTTGAGTTTCATCAATTCTCTCCACCCTTCTATCACATTCACAATGGAGATGGAATAGGACGACTCCATACATTTTTTAGACTTGACAATAACAAAAGTTAACAACAAACATGGTATTTCAATTTATCGTAAACCGGCACATACAGATATTATCATTCATGATTCGTCTACCCACCCGTATCAGTACAAAGTAGCAGCTTTCAACAGTATGATCCACAGATCAACAATGATTACATAGCAGTCTCATACATTTTTTATTATCAAAAAAGTTATACAGCCAAGCTTTGAAGGAAGTTTACCCAATTCGAAAAGTAGAGGATGGGAGTTATAGAACCTTAACCTACTCAGGCCAACCCACCACAAATTTTTCAGATTTTCTGCACAACAAAAGAGTAAGTATTGCTATCCAAACAAACAACAACTTAGGCATGCACACTAAGAAAAACAAAGATAAAAGTTCAGTTTCAGAAAAATTGGGAGTGTATAAATTATCATGTGGGTCATGTCCGATGTTTCATATAGGTCAAACTGGAAGAACGTTCAAAGCCCGCATGAAGAAACACATAAATAGTTTCAAGAATGAAAAATAAATTCCACATATGCCACTCATTTAATCACAGAGGGACATGAGTTCAACCATGAATTCAAGCCCCTCCATTTCCGGAAGAAACGTTTGAAACGTAACCTATTGGAGAGTAAATAAATAAACAAATTCAAAAACTCTTAATACCTTATGAACGATCAAACTGAATTGAATAATTCGCCATTATTGAATCTGTTCATTTCCAGGTAAAAATAGTCAAGTATATTTATGATACTTCCCAAAAATGTATTCATAGAGTTAATGAATGCATACTTGACCTTTTCAGATTCACTCATTAGAAAGTAGGCATAGTTGTGATTTAGAAGTAGCTTTTAGTTTGCGCTTGTATAGCGGTGTCGCGGTTTTTGTAAAACCCTTTTATAGTGAAAATCAAACAATAAACTGTATTAATTAGTTTCAATACTGATATTTTAATTTGAGTCAAGAAGCCGATCGCAGCACGACACGTCACGATTTCATTCTCACAACGCGTTATTTTTTGGCGAGCTGCTCTATTTATTGACGGGCAAATAAAGTGGAAAACAAGATAGTCTAAGAGCTCATGACAAATTTCGAACAGGTATTGTGGGGCGTAAAAATAATATAAAGAATGGAGCGTCTGGAAGGCTAAATCGAAACTCGTTGCAACTGCGCAAGACGCAGTTGCTGCAAAAATATTCAACTAAAAAAAATTGTTTACTCGAATAAATATAAAGTCGTTAAAGATGAAAAAATGGAAGTCCTAGCTGTAATAATTTGTTTAAAATAATAGTCAGACTATCTCAAACTCCTATTAAATAAATTCACCAAAAAATATTTAAGGGCTTTAAAAATTCTGATGGTATATTTTTTGAAAATATTGGAAAATATAAATGTGAAGCCAGGCATAAATAATTGTTTTTAGTAACTGCCAGACAAGATTGAAGATCATAGTCGAGTTCGAATGACAAACGCACAACGAAATAAACGATGTACTCCTTAAGGATATTTCGTATACTTCAGAATCTCCAAAAGATCCAAAGGCGTCATATCAGGTACTCCAGTATGCTATTCTAAGGAACCACGTCTGCCTATCTTCCGAACTGGATAATTCTCAACCAGTTATATCCAAACCACCCTGTCATAATGAGAATTTGCCCCCATCTTGCTGAAACGTACATTAGTTGAAAATTCATCGGGTTTGTATGAATTATTTCCCATGAAACCTATGAATGAGCGGTCTTATATATGTTGAATATAATAACAAATATAGAAACAACATATTTTTTCCGTGATTGAACTGGCAATAATTTAATTTACGAACTTCTCAAGAAATAATACAAAATGTTAGAAATGAATTTGTTAACAGACTTCTTTAATTTCGGGAAATAAATACTAAGCATTTCAAACATTCACTGGGATAAACTGAAATGAGTTTTGAATGAAAGTTTTATTGAAACTGTGATATTTATCGACAGTTGACAATTTCTAACAAGTATATGAAATTGGTCAGGTACGGCTGGTCTAATTCCGAAAATTACATCAATATTGGATAGAATATTGATAGACCCATCAAAAGAGGTATCACCCCATTTTCATTACAAAATGTTGATAGCCTCCTCTCGACGAGAAGTGACATGACAATAATTTTTTTATCAAAAAGTATTGAAAACCATATTTTTTTATATAAATTGTGCCAGGCCTCGATAGCAGGTACCTTTCCAAAGTTCAATGGAGGAACTTTTTACGTCCGCACTGTATAACTGAAATATATTATTTCATTTTCAGCAAATATGATGGCTGTGACAGATGGAATGAGCATGGGGTGGACAGCACCGATGATCCCGTATTTCATGAGCGAGAAGACTCACATAAAAATGACTAGAAACCAAGCTGATTGGTTGGAAAACTCCCTTCTCATCGGTGCCTTTGTCGGACTACCCACTACCATGTACTTCGTAGACAAAATCGGAAGAAGAAAATCACTCATGCTCGCTACTTCTGTATTGATAATATGCTGGATTGCCGTTGCGATAGCAGATAGAGTGGAATACATCTATGTGGCGAGGTTTTTCAAAGGACTTGGCCTGAATATGGCCTTTGTAGCAGCTCCGATGTATGTAGGAGAAATATCTCACAAAAATATCAGAGGAATCCTTTCCAGTTCGATATTTGTACTGATGCTGATAGGGGTGCTAATTATATACAGCGTAGGCCCTTTTGTACCCTTCTTTGTACCTTCCATAATAGCTGGAGGCTTGTTACTCATCGAACTTGTGGTGTTTTTCTTTCTGCCAGAGTCACCCTACTATTTGCTGGTCAGAAATAAGGATGACGATGCTAGAAAATCTCTACTGAGGTTTGTATTACCACCAGAATACTCTTCGTGAAATGATTTCCCACAATTATGTAGAGGTTATCTAAATCTAAATTATCTAAATTATTCTCTAAATCATTCTCAGAACTATAAGTGACTCTGTTTATATCTGGAAGGGTGGTATATCGATGAGTCTTTCTTTCTTGAAATTTTTTTTCTAATTCCTAAAAAAGGAGTTTGTAAAAAAGCTCTTTGGAATGGAACAGTTGTGGGCTAGAGTTGCTACTCTTGTAATCATGTACAGGTCCAATTTTTTCCATCAGTTTTCAGCTTTTTGTTTTTTTTGGATGCCAAAATGAACAAGTGGTTTTCAAAGTTGTTCACTTTCATAATGAGCTCCCAATCTATTCCACGAGTGTATAACGACTGTATTTGTACGATACTTATTCAGGAATGACTTCGATCTAATTTTCCCTAATATCGTATCTTTCTTTTAGATTGAAGTTAGTATCCAGAAGATGAGGAAGTGTAGTCACGTCATTTTTTGTTGTGGACAATGGAGTGTAAATCCACTCTGTTGCCTCCTCATCAAATTCTGTCTGTCATGGTCACTTTTGAAACACGAGTTACGGTTTTGTAAACTGTCCAGTGAAAATACCATATTGAAATGGTACTGGAATAAATACAGTAATCAATAAATTGGTCAACATAGAACAGGGACGATCTGGCTAGTAAAACGCCAAATAATGTATGTCTTCTCCACACTCCATCCATTGACTACATTACATTACATAGTATGATCCCAGAAAATAATTATTGCTGGCATTGTATACCTTATCAATTACTTCCTAAGTTTATCAAAAATCAAAAAAGTTTGATAAAAATTAAACAGTAAGGTCATTTGATAGTTTCTGGAAGTTCATGTTCATGTTCAGAATTTCTTATAACAAACGTTACTGCAATTTTTTTTATAAAGGAGATCAAGGTTCCAAACAGTTCGATGTTCAGTCTTTTATATAACTGGTATAATAATCACACTGTATAGGAAGGCAAAGTTAGAAATCAGAGTATCTTCTGATAGTTGTTGGTGGGAGAAGTGTTTTATAAGAACGGGGTTTTTCCTTCTTTCTTTCCTTCTTTCCTGCTATCAGTGATATCAAAAACCATGGTGGAAGTCTTAAACCATCATATCCTCAAATATTTGGAAGGCTTCAACATCTTGAGCGATTATCAATATGGCTTTCGGAAACCTTCTATCGGATGTCACCTATATTTGGAATAACGCAATCGAGAAACATGGAGAGCCAAGAGCTGTTGCACTTGATATTTCTAAGGTCCCTGACCGTGCGTGCATGAGGGTTTGCTGGCCAAACTTCGATGCTATGGCTTGTCGGATCACTTGTGTGTATGTCTCTTCAGCTTCCTGAAAGAACGTTTCTTGCAAGTGGACATCGATGAATATCTCTCGAATAGGTACTTTCACCATCAACGCTGGTGTTTCCCAGGGATCCATATTGTCTCCAACTCTCTTTTTATTGTATATCAATGACTCATTGGACAAAACCGTATATTCAATATATTGCTTTGCTGACAACAGCACACTTGCCTCGTCATTCCATTTAGATTCCAGGACATCGGCTACGGAGGCACATCTTTAGCGGCAGCAAGAGGTCGCATATCCTAATGAGCATCTAGATATGATTTCGAAGTGTGGTTGAAGTAACTAAGTTCAATTCAATGCCACAAAAACCCAGGCCACAAAAACCCAGGAAGATAATTGTCTCCGAACTGGATTTAATAATGTCAGGTCAGACAATTCCGCTTCCTGCTTCGATGAGTATGGTGGGGGTTTAAATGGACACTAATTTGTCTCGGCACAATCATGTCGCTGGAATTGTAAAGGCCGCTTCTCAAAAGCTTGAAACACTGTTCCAAACCAGAAAACTGTACACACCTCAGCGACTTTTGATGCTTTATAAAGCTCAGATCAGACCTTCTTTGGAATATTGTTCTCATGTATGGAGCTCTGTCCCCAAACATACCCTGAAGTTGGTGGATTCTGTTCAGAAAAGAGTCATTAGTCTGATTAGAGACGCGAATATCACGTGCATTCTTGATAGCCTGGAACATCGAGGAAAGGTTAGAGATTTGTCTCTTTTTTATACATACTTTTACCAGAAATGTTCAAGTGACATGGCACATTTGATTCTACCAAGAGCGATACATATCAAAAATATGCGACGGATCTGCAGCGATTCAAATCCAATGTGAATCGCTACTTTCGCACAGGCACCGCTCTGAGAGCGCCTAAAAGATTTTCTTGTAGTACTTATGTTTCATCCTTGAATAAAATAAATGTTTGGGCGAGGTTTTTCTTCCAATTTGTATCCGAAAGTAACTTATATGCATGATCTTCACATCTTTCTGAAGAGTTCATTCCGAACTCAATCCCATCGGAAGTTTTCTACTTTTTTATATGAAGATAAGAAGTAGAAAGCAAAAAATATTCTTTTCACGATTGTAGGCAGTGTAATTCAAATCATCTGCCCGAACCACAGAAACATGGTTCCTCAACTTCAAGGGATGTTGTATTTCACACGTCTTTACATCATACATATTTCTTTCCATTTTGCCCATTTCTGACTCTTCTATTTAGAATCGGTGGAGTTGAGTTGAGAAACTTGTGCGAGCTAAGGACTAACGAGGTCTTATCTTTTAACGTGTTATGAACTCTAGTTTTAGATGGAAAACATTCAAATACATTTTTGTTTTCAGATTCCGCGACAATCCAGCAGACGTAGAAGTAGAGCTTAGGGAAATGGCAGCCTCCTTAGAGGAAGATCGCAAAACAGAGAAGTCTTCGCTCAAAGACATTTTTCTAGTGAAAAGCTACCGAAAACCCATGACAATAATGATTGCACTGAATCTGGCCCAACTCTTCAGCGGGTTTGAAGTGATTCTGATGAACCTGCACGAGATTCTAGATAGCGCCGGGTCTATCTACGTCAGCCCTTCCTCGGCTGCTATAATTTTCGCTACGTTCATGTTGGTAGCTTCATCTCTAGCTTCTCTATCAGTCGACAAATTCGGGCGCAAATTACTTCTTATAGTTTCCAGTATTCTTACTGGAGTGTGCCTGCTAACTCTGGGTTTGTACTTCAACTTGAAGCATTCTGGTTACGACATGACAACAGTCAGTTGGATTCCCATAGTAGCCGTGATGACATACGCTACTAGTTTCAAATTAGGACTTGGAGTGGTACCAATCGTGCTAACAGCTGAGATATTTGCTTCCAAAATCAAAGCTATAGGCATGTCCTTAGGCGATGCAGTGTATGTTGGAGCATCGCTGTTGGCTTTGCAATTATACTTTTCCCTGAAGGAACACCTAGGGATCCATATTCCGTTTTACATTTTTTGCTGTTGTTCATTGTCGACATCGTTATTTGTTTGGTTTTTCGTCCCTGAAACCAAGGGTAAGAGTTTGGACGAGATTCAGGAAATAATGAGGGGTGAAGTTGCTAAGAGTCCGGAGGAAAATGTTAAGCTCATGGAAGTGAAAGGGCAGTAAAATACTCACTATTTCATTAGGCAGGGAACTTGAAACAACACTCTGTCAAACGACATTCCACAGTGAGGAAGATATATCGTATTAGATATGTGTTGAACATTGTACTGACTTTAATTCGCCAATGTGGTGTTTCTACGAAACACATGACTTGTGTTTGTGAAGCATTTTATATGGAACGCCGTTTCACTTTTTATTGTCACTATTGTCACTAGATATATGTCTATTTTAAATGACACTCGATTTAAAATGTTACATGAATTAATTTGTTTGATGAAAAATTGGAAACAGTTATAATATAGATTCATTGTTTGAAATTTTTGGAAGTGAATGTTTGTCATATATACTTTTTTTGTAACTGTCGAATAATTTACTACAATTTCTGTGAAACATGAATAAAATTGTTTGTTGATAATTATAGTTACCTGAATTAAAACGATTGTTGATAATTTTAATTCGGCGCTAGCATTGAGCGGATTCTTGCAGAAGCTGAATTTTTAAATCTGGCAACATGATAGTCTAATGATAGTAACACAATATTCCGTCCGACCGCAGTGCTGAATAAAAATTATCAACAATCAATTTAATTCATGTATCACTGAAATGCAACAAACAAATTAATTCAATTCTTTCCAAAGGAATAATAATAAGAAATAAAACGGCGTGGCACGTCGTTTTGCTTTTTATTAATAGTCATTTGAAATGAGCTGAATTATTTTGTTTGTTGAATTTCAGTGATACATGAAATAAATTGATTGTTGATAATTTTTATTCGGCGCTGACGTCGGGCGTATTTTTGTGGAACTACTTAACTGCATGTATGTATGGCGTTGGTCATAGTACGGTAATAATCCGTTCGACCACAGCGACGAATAAAAATTATCAATATCAATTTAATTGATGTATAACGTAAATGCAACAGTCAAAACAATTCATTTTTACAAAATACCAATTATTAATATTCCTTTGAAATTAACTGAATTATTCTGTTTGTTGAATTTCAGTGATACATGAATTAAATTGATTGTTGATCATTTTTATTCGACGCCACGGTTGAACGGCGTTTTGTCGTACTATATATGAACTAGCATGTTGTCATATGTAACACTTGAAGTTCTTGATAAATCCGCTCGATACCAGCACCGAATTAAAATTATCAACAATCGTTTTAAATGTATCTTTCCAATACAAAAAACTTTTTAAATCATCAAAAAATGTCAGAAATTAGCTTTTTAAAAAGATTAATGAAATAAAATGATACTTGCTTGAGAACGTTTTGCACAAAAGTTGTAACCAAATTTCAAATTGAATGCATTAAAGTGAATGTTGGAAATATTCAAGACTTTCAATAAAATTGAAATCTAACAATCTTTATTATTCATAGAAAAATATTTAGTAGGGAAAGTTAATTTGCTATATTTTCAGACAAACGAAAGTTAAAATAGAACAAATTTTGCGAACAATCATTTTTAATGTGTCCAACAAATACATGAATCAATTGAATTCAAACAAATAAATTGTTAGGTGAATAAATTGAGGAATGAATATTTGTGACAATAAAAAGTAAAACGGCGTTTCATAATTTTATGTGTCCAATAATTTTTTTTCCGTAGGTACCGTATTCAATAACACTTCACGGTGAGATTTTCTCAAATTAATTTCAAAAACCGTAACACATGATTCACTGTACGATATACTTTTCAGGTGTGCTTGAAAAAATGTTCATAATAGTTGTGCTGACATTTCGTAGGCTTACATTGAAAAAAATATATTTTTTTATAAAATTTGATTTTATTGTTTAATATAGTTGTCTTCAAGGGCGATACAATGATTGTAGCGGTCATACAATTATAGAATTTTTTTTTCATCTTTAATCAATATTGACCATCATTGACAGGAATGATCATTTTTGAGTTTATTTCTTGAACTATTCAACAATGGATTGAACTCAACGATGCCTTGAAAAAAAAGGTTTGTGCTACTAGCTTTCGATATCGATTCCTCAAAAAAGTTCATATTTTTTGCCGTTCTTGCTTTTTGATAATGATTGCTTCCCAATTGACGTTGAAGATAGTCAGGTAATAAATTATAAACGATTTTGGAAACAGGAATCATCGTTTGAACATAGTCACTAAATATTGAAGCAATTTAACATCCATAACTTTTCGCTTAGAATTTAATAGTGATAAGACTTATTTTTTCAAATGATATAACGATGGTTATTGATGAAAATCTTGTTTCAATGAGACATCCTGTATATTCCTAAATATCTCAATGGAGCTTAAAATTATCTTTCCAAAAATGTAACATACTTGATGTTTTGTCAAAGTCATCTTTGAAATACAGAGCTTTTATATGTTTTCATATATTTGAAATGCATACTTTGATAAAATAGGCTTTGGACAACGCGGCGCTAAACAGAAAGAAATATTTCACTAGTAGAAGTGACCCACATTTTTGAAAAGGTTATTTTGAGCTCTATTGAAATATGCAGTAATATACAGGGTATCTCATTAAAAAAATACTTTTCCATCAATAACTATTGATATCTCATTTGAAAAAAAAGTTTTTTTAACTATTGAATTCTACGCAAAAAAGGGTCTTGGAAATGTTTCAATAGAAACAAGAGATTTTTGACAGGAATAATGCTGCAGCAACTTTTCGAAAATGCACATTTTCGAAAAACATGCTGTAACTCAGAAACGATGATATATATCGATATACGGTTTTCACCATTAAGTTTGTCATGAAATATGACATTCCGACACAGTCATCAGTTTTCATGTATCTAGTTTGAAAAAAGAAGTTTCCCTTTGAAAGTGTTCAATTTGGTCCACTCTGTACATGGGTAAATTATAGAGCTGCTGTAATGTAATTGAAATGAGGTAAAATAATATACGTATATAATAATATACGTATTGTTCTTCGACAATATGGGGGTAGACTTGAAACACTCGTCTCATGGATTAGATTTTCTCACCAATTTTTTCGGAAATATAATCGACTTGTTTGTCAAATTTCAGCTGACGATCAACGATGAGCCCCAAAGATTTAATCTCTTGCACCACCTCCAACCGTTGGTCGTTAATTTGTATATGTAGTCCCAAATATACGATAGAACAAGTTATTTTTCATAAACATTCATGAAGCTGATTGCTAACTGTTTCAACAAAATGTTAACGAGGTCAGTTCTAGTTAATTAAGAGATCAGAATGTCGACTGCAAAACATATGTATCCTGCATTCAGATAATGCATTGTGGAGCACCATAGCTGTTAAATTGGAATCTGATTCTGTTTTTCAATTTTTTTCTTCGGAATCTATCTTTTGGATAACAAACATTCCAAAACTACCCAAGTGATTAAATACTTATTTGATATTAATTGTGATATATCACGACATATCGTTTCGAATGTCCTTTTCATGTCAATGAATACGGCACATATTTCAATGCCATTAAAATGCTTATTCTCATGAACGATATGAACAAAAGATGCCATTTTCATTAATGTGTTCAAACTTTTGATTTCTCATAGTTTTTTCGAGTTTTTGAAACACACGCAAATAGTGGCATGGCTTGTCACAGTTTTCATGAAATGCAATGTCATACATTTCTTCATGTTCCGTTAGAAAAGTACTTTGAATAATGAGATTTTCACGGGCATTTACCAAGCAGTTCAGAAATAATGTCAAAAAGGTGATATAATACTCAAGTTTTTGCTCGGAAATGACGCTATTTACAACTATTACCTCAAACTTAATCTTTAGGCATAAACATAGATCAAAACCAGAAATTGAAGGAACATGTAAGACAAAAAATAAAAAAATATAATTGGCTTATTTAAAGTTGCAGATATTGTTACACGAGCTAAGATTTCATGCTGCTGATTTTCTAATGATGAAAAAGCATAGAATTTTTTAATGAAAGACCAATTTAACAGTATATCGGGATCATAAGTACCGCATTCGAAATAGAAAGCAATGCTCAATTTCTTGAAGTGTTTGCAGAATGAATGAATTAATTTCAAACAAACACTACTCTAAAACTAATTAATGCAGTTTATTGTATGATTTTCACTATAAAGGGTTTTGAAAATCCGCGACACGTGTTTTACTATAAAATAGTTTCCTTAAACGTAAACTCGTTACGCTTGAGGAAGCTTTTTTATAGAGAAACACGTGTCGCGGTTTTTGTAAAACCTCATATAGTACAGGATCCCGCCGCAAAATCACTACGTTCATAGCGTATTTAATCAAACTCAAATTTTAACATACATTTATGAATGGCAAAATACATTTATAACAGGTTGCCAGTCAAAAAGTGGCCGCCAATATTATTATTTGAAAAAATCAAGCTACTAAAATATTTCATGGAGTAATAGCCGGGTCAATCCCACTTTGAAACCCTTCATCACTTGGAAGGATCGATTGCAGCTGGAGAAATGGTTCAGAAGCAGATTCTGTGAAACATGTTCTCCCTATATAATCAGTAGACAGTTGAAAATCTTGCAAAAAAATTGGATTCGATAATTAAGGAAACATTAGCTACATGAATAGCATTTTACAAGTATTGCTCAGACGAGCTTATAACGATGAACGAGTACAAGAATGTTTTCTCCTTATTCACCAAACTCAAACACCTGTTCATGCAGCTGCAGTTTCGAATGTATCATCTCCAAATACGCGAAGTTGCACGGATACGTAATGAGCATTATACCTCAGTAAGGTGACCAGAGGAAAGTTGCAACCTCAGCATATAAATCTTTATAAATATTGAGGGAGGTCAAGATCAACAGAAATTCATTCAGTATTCATTTATTACTCTTCAGAAGCAGTTCAAGAGTATTTTTAGAATGCAGCACATTTCCTTTTCATCGTTCCTGCTGGGTAGCAGTATAATGTAAGTTTTTTGGTGATTCTTTGTATCTTTCCTAACTATTTTATCAACTACCCTTAGCGTAATTTTTTCGTTCTCATCATCATAAATATTTTATTCAGTTTTAAATGGGTTCTTTCATTATTTGGATGGAAGAGGGTTGGTTGAAACAGCGATGGATCCTCTTATGATGAGCAAAACGAGTACTGAATTGCAACAATACAATGAAACGTGTCAAGATGTTGGGAACAACGGTTTGGTGTTAGGATAGAACTCCAATAATATTCATTACTACTCAGAACTCCAGTAATATTTATTTCTTTCTAACAAAGTAAAGTTTCACCTCATTTCTATATCAACAATTTGCGGGAAATGTCCCCTGAAAGTTAACGATTATTCCAACAGAATGATTTATGTACGACTATACATATTTTGATTTTGGAAAGCAATAAACAGTCTTCATTCATGGCCGTTCACTACGGTGTGTTCAAAGATATCGGACTCACCGAAATCGGATAGGTACAGCATGATTTTTGAAACATGTTTCGATAGTTCGTCCAGTCTAACTCATATATTGAATAAATAGGCAAAGTTAAAATTAGAATGTAGTATCATACCTCCTGGTGACACCAACTTGGATGGTGAAACATACGTCAAGAGGACTGTTACAGTTTTGGCATGCGGAAGGAAAGTTTGTTTTGGATTTATTTCACACCACTGTTCCACTTTCACTTTCAGGTGAGTTAAAGCCATTCAGAGTAACCGAAGTCGAGAATTAGTTTGAGATTTATTTGAGTTCGGCACGAGAATTGTCATTGTATGAATAATGAGGAATTTAATGGTTTCCACTATAAAGTAGCTGCTAGCTACCGTCGTTCGAGTATCGGATACATCTGGAAAAGCCAGTGTATAGTGAAGCACTATATTGCATCGGCAAACCAAAGAAACATTTTCAAGTTTGGCAACACTGGTTTCTTCAATGCACTAGGTCACTAGGTTATTGAACGCAGTGGGAACACTGTGAATCTGAATAGTGAGACAAATTCACGTGTCATTCATAAGTTATAAGCAAATTTATAGTTTTCTTCTTATTGAAACGGAAAACGGTGTTGTAGTTTTGTTTAAGAACCTATTTCCAATGAGCATAAAGGTAATTCTTTAGGACACCCGCATATATGACGTAAATGGAAAATGATAAAAAGGTCTGTATCAATGTAATAGGAGTAATTTCGATGAATTTCTGCCACAACTTTTATGAAATTTGACTTTTGTATAATACTAATAGTAATGAACGGGCTGTTATTACATTCTTTTTATAATTCATTATAATACAACTAACATTTCTACCTACTAATGAAATGATAAGAAATCTGACATTGAAGTTTTTTGAATACGTTAATGTAATAACCGTTATATACAGATTTCATGAAGTGCTATGTGGTTGGAGATAATTTTAGATATTGAAACTCATTAGTCTCATTAATTCAACGTTTCAGTTTCGCTTTATACTTTTGAACTGATGTATATAGATATTTTCCTGATCACGAATTTTATAAACGCAATGCAAACATTTTTTGTACAACTGTGAATGTGAATTTACATCGTCTGAAATATATTAAAAATAAATACTTTCAATAACGTGTAACGTGGTTTTTTGTTCCGATAAGTTATCGCTTTTGAACGACTGTTGTCTTGAAAATATCATTTCATGTTTTTAGTAAAATAGTATTGAAAAACTTTTCCTGTCTGAAAAAATAAGTCCAAAATAACTAAATAAAAATTATATTTTTCATACATTTTATCCTTAATGTTATGGCTTTGGCGAAATGAATTTTTGGCAATTCAATATGATCACTTGATGAAATATTCAGTATTTCTTACCCACAATCATTTACCGAATTATAATTTATATCTGGAAATTCTTCGAAAAATCTTCGGCCAACAATCAAAAAGATTTCTAAAATCCACTTGTTCCACTTCTGCGCCACCCACATTTTTTTAAGCCTGATTGGCTGGATCAGACATAGCCAGACATATGGATTGGTAGGCGTATTATGTTGGAATGACCTGCTCATTCATGGAATTGGACTCCTCGCAATTCTTCCTTTGGGTCTGGGTCAAATCGAAAGTTCATTTTACGCAAGAAAAAAACTGTTTCACTATGTTCAAGTTGTGAACCTATTTATTCATCTATCCATTACTGTCATTATCCTTATCAAAATTGCATTCCTGAACAAATTCATGGAAGGTAATTAGGTTTAATCAGGCAATGCTCATATTGGTTGGTATTGAACTAGATTGCACACTATTCAAAAATAGTCAATGTTTGTACGAATCAACATAAATTCTATAATTCATTCCAGAGGAAAAGTTGGAGTGAGCTGATGATGGAAAACAAGGAAACAGAAAAGAATGTTTCATACGGAACAATTTTTCAAATATATACCTCATTCATAGGTAAGTGTTTTTTGTAAAGTGATATGAAAATATCCAAATAATACTTGAATCTAAAATAGTGTTTGGTAACGAAGTGAACACAAAAAGCGTATAAATAAAATGTACTGATTCAACTAGTTATGATGGATTGAAATCATTCGTTTTTTTTTGTTATTTTATTAATTTGTGATCAGAAGTTATTTCGAAAATATATTCCATTGAAAAACTACATTATTAAAATTGAACTTTCAAAACTTGACCCGTCAGGGGGTTATCTCAAAAAACAACTATTACTAGTTGTCAGAATTTAAAAATAATCTCTAGCTAAAAATTATGATGGCTATCCATCCTTGAATATTGTCAACTCACTAAACCAATTACAAATATTTACTTTGTACTTCCAATTTCAAGATTTATTGTCAAACTCAACTTTGAATTTCCCGACGCCAAGCATTACATAACGAAAGTGTTATTCTACTATTCAGAATGTTATGGAATTATCAGCAGAAATTTCTCATCACATCGTCACAATCGAAAGATAACTTCTATATAGGTATTTACGCCCTTATTTAATCATTATACGAATGTTAAACTAATATTCCAACCTAAATATCTGAAAGTAACGGAAGAATGAACGAAACCCTTGACCTGAAATCCTTCTGTAATAAAGCGTATAAATCGCCAAGCAACAGGTCACACTTGAAAATGTTTCAGTTTTCATTTCCTTCTTCACTTTATCATTTCTATTACTTCTTTTTTTGCATTCGTTTTTTCACTTCCTTTTGTAATATTTCATTTTTTCTCGTTGTCTCCATCCCTGTCTCTATTCCTCTACCTCTTTGTCCTTTTGTTTTGTCTAATCCCCACTTCATTTTTTCTCGTTGTCTTCATCCCCGTTTCTATTTCTCCGTCTCTTTGTCCCTTTGTCTTGTCTAATCCCTACTTTCTCATTTTGTTCCTTATTATTTCCAATTCCCTTTTCTTTCAATATCAGTACGAGTGTTTTCTATTTTCATCCATTGGTTTTTCTTCTCACTGTGCTATTTTTTCAAGTCATATCTCAGCAACAAACGACAAACGGTGTAATGAGGTCTTCAAGGATCGGTTTTGAGACCTACTCTGTTCATGATTTATGTAAATATACATTGTAATATCTACAGCCTTTCATATGCATTATCGCAGATGATGTATGAAGACTGTATGAATCAAGTAACGATGTAAACCTCATATACTTCTCAATTTTATTATGATGATATTAGTAAACTAAATCGATTTGATCATTTAACAGGTTGCACCCACAATGTTTATGTTTGTGAATTTCCAAGGATTCTAAATAATTGAGTTTGTAACCCTTCCTTGCATAGTGCCAAATTTCCGTATCGTTTAGATTCTCTTGTGAAGGAATCCAGGCATTGTGACAAACTCAATTGGTCAGTTCTTTGTAGTATGTCGAGAGACAAATCCCATCAGATCGAAGGTTACTGAAGAGTGTCCACAGTGTGTGCACTTCATTTTCCAAAATATGTTAGAGTTACCCATTTCTTGATTTCTGGTTGTTTGCCCTGATGGTATATTAATCTGTAAGTGAATTTCCGGCTTTATTTCCAGACTAACTTCTGGATAGTATCTGCGTTGAAACCATTATTATGACCTATTTGTGTAACTATATCAATTTCTCTAGCTAGATGGTTAGCAGACAAAGGCAGTGAGAATGCTCTGTGCAACATTGAATTGTAGGCTGCTAATTTATGACTGTCCGAATGGAAAAAATCGCTTGGAATGGTGATGTCTGTATAGCTAGGTTTTCTGAAAACGATGAACTCAAATTCATTCTGATTGTGTGTAATGGTCAGGTCTAAGAAATCTATCTGTTTCTCTATCTATGTTTTGAGTGTGAACTGAATGTTGCTATTGAGATCATTCATGAATGTAATAAATTGGTTCGGCTGTCGTGTAGTACCTCTGAAACAAGCGAGAATATCACCTACATATCTGTACCTACATATCTGTTTTTTACCCAGGCATTTACTATAGTGGTTTCCAAGTTGTTCATAAATATTTCTGCTAAAAGTGGAGTAAGGGGCCAACTGGTAAACCTGAATCCTGTTAATAAAATTTGTTGTTGAACCGTAGGTAGTTCTGATTTAGGCACACATCGAAAGCTGTTGAAACTTCAAAGGAAGTGATATGGTCTACTTTGGCTTGATCTAATATGTATAAAATGAGGGGTTCACACTCGTTGTACGGTATGTTGGAGAACACATTATTTACATCGAATGAAACTAAAATTGAATTATGTGGCGTGGTTTGGTTCCTTATGTTTTCTACTAAAGTCCGTGAAATTTTAATGCTGTGAAGTCTCACCTCACAGTATGGAAATTCACAAGCATAAACATTGCGGGTGCAACCTGTTAAATGATCAAATCGAGTTAGTTTACTCACCGGTTTTTAAATTGGCACATCCGCATTGTAAACTGTAAATTCAGGTAGTCAATCAAGCCAAGTACCTCTATTAGTACCTACAGGGGTGGTATATAAGGGCTAATGTAATGAATCATTGTTAGTTTATTGTATAAGTTTGAAAATGTCCGTATAGGACGAAACTGCAGTAACGTTAGTTACAAAAAAAGTGGCAAAAAACATAGAAAGCTTCATTTTTGTTTTCTTCTTTATGATTTCCTACCACCTAGTACCGGCTACATACATCAATTTATATTGTTTTCATATTCTTCCAGCCTTTACGCATTTAATTTTTGTTCGTAATGATGTTCTTGAAATTGTGATGATTCTAATTGAATTTATTTTATATTATTTTAATAACTTTCCAATACCAATCAACTATAGTACCTTTTCATTGTATAGATTATGTACCATGACTTGCTACAAATATTTTCTATATAATGTAGTCCTCTTTATCTCCTCTTTATCTTCTTTCGTTTTTCTACATACAGCATTATGTTTCTCCTTGTTTCCTCACATCACTTCTCTTTTCCTTATCTACTTTGACCCTTTCCTTTCTCCAACCATTAATTTCATTTCTTGCTCCTTCATTTTTCACTTGTGTTCTTATTGTATTCCCTTCTACATTTTTTCTGTTCCATATCTCTGTATCCCTCCTTTCATCTTCCTTTTTTTTGTTTATATATTTTTTTTCGATCCCTCTTCTTTATTTTCTTTCTTTTTTCTGGCTCAAACTCTCACACTGATTTCAGTGGGATTAGTTTTCAGCGAATACTTCATTACTTACCACTATTGTGCCTAATAAGTAACCATTTATGTTTCGACAAATCCCCAAACAATTCCTAGTTCTACTAAATGACAAATGCTATTTCATTTTCAGTTGGTCTACTAGCGATAACAGATGGCATGGCGTATGGTTGGACATCCCCCATGATTCCCTACCTGACAAGCGATAAGAGCCACTTAAAAATGAGTCTACACGAAGCAGAGTGGATGGAAACTTGGATGATGATAGGCGTTATTTTTGCTTTACCCATCACAGTGCAGGCAGTGGATAGAATAGGACGAAGAAACACCATTTTGTTCTCTTGTATCATTCTAGTGGCATGCTGGATAGGAATAACAATTGCGAGTAGAGTCGAGTATATCTACGCGGCTAGATTCCTCAAAGGTGTTGGACTAAACATGGCTTATGTTGCTGCACCCATGTACCTAGGAGAAATCGCACACAAAAATATTCGGGGGCTGATGTCTGGTATTGTTTTCACGTTAATGATGGTTGGAACTCTGTTAATCTACATTTTGGGGCCTCTTGTACCTTATTATGTACCTTCAATTATAGCTTCTGTTCTGCTTTCAACGCAAGTCTTTGCATTCTTCTTCTTGCCAGAATCTCCGTACTATCTACTCAATATCAAAAAGTATGAGGAAGCTAAGAACGCTCTGCAGAGATTCAGAGGCAACTCTGATATCGAAGAGGAATTTGAGGAAATCGTCAAGACAATGGAAAGCGACAAGCAAGAAAAATCCAGTTCTCTGAAAGCAATATTCCAAGTGAAACATAATAGGAAATCTCTCATAATTGTTCTGGTTCTAGATCTGTCACAACCATTTGCCTGTCAAGAAATCATGTTAATGAACCTTCACGAGATTCTCAACAGTGCCCAATCAACTTACATGAGTACTACCAGTGCTGGAATAATTTTCGGGTGCATCATGCTGGTATCTGCTATTGTTTCATCCTTGATAGTAGATAGATTCGGAAGAAAATTCTTACTTATAACATCTTCTATTTCAACAGGAATATGTCTCGTTACTCTAGCAATATATTTCCACATGAAGCGGTCTGGACACAACTTGGATTCTCTTAGTTGGATACCCATTGTATCCGTGTTGGTTTATGCGTTTGTTTATAAAATTGGAATAGGCATGGTACCAATAGTAATCACCTCAGAGATTTTCACAACGAAGATAAAAGCTTTGGGTATGACTATATCTGACGGAGTTTATGTTGTTGGATCAATAGCTTCACTGCAGATGTTTTTCGCGCTGAAGAGCACGTTTGGAATTCACGTTCCCTTCTATTTATTCACTTGTTGTGCCCTAGTAACGTCGTTATTCACTATATTTTTAATTCCTGAAACCAAAGGTAAGACTATGGAGGAAATTCAAACAATTCTCAAGGGAGAGTAGCCATCACCGAAGGGAGAAGAATTGGAAAGTTTGAACAAGGAAAATTCATATAATATGTATCAGATTGAAACAGTTCAAGTTTACTACGTTACGTTAAATGAAGATTTGAGCATTCATATGCAGACAGAGTTGAAGTGAATATGAAGTTTGAATATTTTGAGTTGCCTTATTCATAGAGGTCGGTTAAATTTCAAATCATATTTGGATTGAAATATTCTCCGATATTTGAAATACTGTGACGTGAAAATTATATTTCTGATCACTGCGAAGTATCGATCTTACGGACAGATAAATACGTTGGTTTCAGAGTATGCCCTCGATATCACTTCCAGACTCGGAATCAGATGTATATATTTCTATACAGAGACAGAGACTTTTCAATATGAACAGCGTAGGTCAAGAATTGGAAATATATTACAATAAAAATAATGAATTCAATTCATTTTCCCATTTTTTTCCATTCAATAAAATATCAGTGTCTCTTTGGCGGAGGTTTTCAAGTTTTTGATCGATGGCATCAATAATTACTTCGAAAACTTTGAAAATCATCCCGTTCAGATGTGTTTTTCACTAAAAGTGAATTTTCGCAAAAAATTTTCAAAAAGTATTCATTTTGTTTGAAATTGTGAATTAATTGATGCTTTGAAGGAAGTTCAAAGAAGCTGTGTGTAAGGAATAACGATGTAATCAACCAGGCTAGCGCAGAGATTCGCATTGTATAGAAACCTTCAATAAAGCAAAAAATGGGCTACTGAATCAGAATACAATCAATCAAAACAACGTGAAGTAGCTTGGTTCAAAATCTACTTCTCTATGTTTTGTGCTTTTTAATTTTTTTTCACTTTCCATCATCATATCTATTTTATTTCATATTTTATTGTTCATGCATTTATAATATTCATTCTCATATTATGATATTTTCATTATTTGAGTCCAATTATTTTTAGGATTCTTGATATTCCTTTTATTTTTTACACTTTGAATTCGAGATTAATATTTTTTCAAAAAATTCAGAAATTCGAATCCCTCATTGTAATCGAAACATTTTGTGAAATTACTATGAATTTTTTTTATTCACCCCCTTCCCCTTGGCATCAAACCCGAATTTATTTTGCCACAGAAATTTCAAAATAAATAAGTCGAGTGATATTTCAGATTTAATTATGATAGTTAGAATTATAGTATTGTAAAATTTTTCATTTTGTGTATCTAAAAGGACTGCTATATTGGTTGGCAAAGAAATATTCGAGGAAAGCAATTCATCTAAAATACTGATAAGTTGGAACGTGTGAATAAGATGTGATTTATGTCCACTAAAGAATTGTCACATGAGCATAATGGGCTTACATCAATGCCTATTTTTGCCAAATGTGCAGGAAACTTACCATGGTTCATTTTCATTCATGTAATGGTAATAGCGTAGAGTTTTGAAAGTTGAAGTTGTCTATATGGGGCATACTTTTAGGGAAAGTGGGGTGGACTAGTGTATAATGATTTTTCGATTTAGTTGAAGATTGTTTCCAAAGTCTTCTCCAATTCAGTCGTATTTCATATCTAAAATCTGAGATTATGTCTTGCGGAGAGCTGATATCAGTTATCAATTCTACAAAGGTAGCTTCTTTCGCTGATTACTACGGATCTTCATCAAGTAACGGCCGAGTTAATCAGACAATCCAAACATGTTGACAAGTGAGTCTGTTGGTGATAAATTCCAAAAAAGAAGCCCAACTGATATACGACTGAATCTGTTTAATATTTGCGTATACCTAATTTTTTATTTTGAACAAAAAAGTATTATTATCGGTCGGTAGTCGGTCGGTTCGACATGGGTGCTTTGTTAAGTCACCCAAATCGACCGCCGTGTTGGTCGGTGTTTCAATCCCCAGGCTGAACGATTAATTATCACTTGCTATCGTCCAACCCGTGGTAGGAATCACACGTTAAAAGGTAAGATCTCGTTAGTCCTTAGCTCGCACAAGTTTCGACTTCTGAGGGTTGTCGTTCGTAAGGCTTACCCAATATCCATTGAAGGTAATCCGGATATACATCCAGTGGGGCCCAATGACTGATTAATTATTTTCAATTGAGATAATGAGATAATTCTAATTATACCAATGACACGTAGGCTTGTAAATGAAAAATATTTAATGTGCTGTAACCCAATGTTGCCTAAATCTTATCAAATTTTCAAATTACGTGAAATGATCATAAACGGTATGATAATATTTATGGCAATGACAATGGAGGTTTACATAAGTGAAGATTAAACTAAATTATGGTATCAACTTGGTCAAATAGACATTTTCAATGAAACTTTTTCTCTCGCTAATTCCAGTCTTTCTTTTAAAATTATATCATTTCACAATGATTGAAAAGAACGAATTAAAGGAAACTGTGTCTGATGGAACTGTCTTTCAACTGTTTACTGCTTTTATTGGTGAGTAGTAGTTTTTGGTTTGCTATATTTATGAGAATAACAATCCTAATCCCAATATAAATCAACGAAATTGCACTTTGTAATTTCGTATGATAATTGAGTCATACTCAGCTCTGTTCGATGGACTTCCTTGAGGAACAAAGATAACACTAATATGAGCCGCTACAATGACAGAAATGGACTATTCCTAAATAGTTCTAAAACTAATAAAAGGATTTTTGATAACAGATTTATATTTAAATATATTAATCAAACTGATGTAAAGGAAACACAAAAATGAAGCATAAATATTGATAATGATTATATTACAAAAATAATGATAACATCTGGTCAGGCTAGAGTCGAAACAGGATGGGTCACTTTAAGAAGGGGTATATTTCAGGGCGATTCCCTCAGTCCCCTTCTCTTTTGCATCTCACTATTGCGCTCAGGATTACTCGAGGGTATAACTGTGGCATCCTTGGAAACCGGAGGCACAAGATCACCATTTGTTTTATATAGATGATCTTGAACTTTATGCCTCTGGAGAAAATGATCTCCATCAGTCCTTGTGGGTGGTGGACGACGCAAGAACTACGGAGACGATGTGCAGCTCGTGGATAAAAGCATCCTACACCATCTGGATGCCGGAGAGATGTATACTTACCTCGGGGTGGAGCAACGCCACTCATAAGAGGTAACAGCAGTGAAAAACTCTCTCCACGGCAAGTATCAGCACAAACATCCGTCAGATCTAGTCATCAGAACTGTCGGGGAAGAGAAAGTTGCTGCAACGAATATGCTTGCCGTTCCAGTCTTACTCGTTTGAAGTGGTGGAGTGGGCTCGGAAGGAGCTGTATCAACTTGACGTAAAAACCAGAAAAACAATGCACCTCCATAGGAGTTTGCATCCCGAATGATCCGTTCTACGGTTGTACTTCCCCCGACAACAGGGAGGCCGTGGACTTTTCAGTTTGGAGTGTCTACATGACAGAATGGTACTGGATACAGCCTGTAAAGTTGTCAGGAGTTCGGATCCCCTTCTCTGCATGGTCCGCGACCTTGAGAAAGTAGAAATCGGAGCATTTCTCTTTAGGGCAGCTTTACGAGCGGCTGATAAGCTTGGCTTAGTTTTTGACATTGAATGAATTCATCACAACCCTGCCACCGAGTTAAAACCCATCCAGCAAAAGGCTTACCTAAAAACCCCAGAGATTGCTTCAATCCTGCGACAACACGAAAATAAGCCAATTCATAATGTCTTCTTCAACAACATTGAAGACCTCGCCCTAACTTTGCTTTTCTTATGTCGAGTGAGCTGAAGTCAGAAACTGAGAGGCTCTGTATCTGTAGAGTAGGGAGGGTGAGTGTAAGCCCATAGTACTTAGGCCACATGTGACCCATTGTACATCCTCCCGAGGAGTTGTCCTCCTAGGTCATCGTCCATCCTGTCCTTTCCAGGAAAGTGGACAGGTCACTGGGAGACATCTCCTTTATATCGGCAGGTGTAGGCTAAGACTCGATGAACACACACTCTCTTATTGACGATAACTCCGGGCACTTGCACAGGACATGCCTGATGGTCTCATCTTCCTATTCACACATCCTGCATAGAGATGTGTCCACCAGCCCCATATTATGGAGGTGTTGCCTTAGTCGACAGTAACCAGTCAGAAATCCTACTGTTAGGCGTAGATTTTTCCTGGTCAATGCCAAATATTTCTCCGGCGCCAGCTCTCCACGGTCACCCAAGGTGATCCTGGCAAGATTACTTCCTTTGGTTTCGTCCCATCTCTTTAAGGATTGAGCATGGGTATAACACTTGACTAGTTCCGCAATTGTCGAAGTTATCAGGCCGTAGGTGCCACTGGGTCCTAAAATTCTTAGTCCAGCCGCTTCCTTGGCTAAAAAGTCGGCAATGCGATTACCTTTATTCCTGTCGTGCCCTTTAACCCACCTCAGGATGATGTTATTATCTACCGAGGCTTTGGCTAAATCTTGGTGACACTCTAGTACTAGCCCTGAGGTTATAATTTGTCTATTCAAGGCTAATAGGGCGTGTCTGCTGTCAGCGCAGTTTGTTTTGTTTTTGCCAGAAATCACTTTTTTGGTTAATTCTTTTGTAACGATTGAGAAACCAGCCAGTTCTGTTTGGACCACGCTGGTATTTCTTTTCATTCCCCACTCAATTCTTAGGCTTAGTGATCTGGAGTATACTCCACACCCTGAGCCTTCTTTGGTTTTTAAGCCGTCTCTGTAACTGAGAGGCTCATTATGGCCTGTCAAGATGGTGTCTTCAACACAACAATCTACCGCAGTCGCGTGATGGGTGTAGAGGTTCCAGACACAAGGTGTAGGACCCGCCGCGAGGCGCCTAACAGCCTGGCCACGGAACACTCGCCGATGCGAATATAAGCGCGGTGCGAACGGCGAAGCGTCTAGCGACTGAAACAAACGCATAGCAATGTATTTATGAAGCCACACGCAACGGCGACCGGCGAAGCGACCGGCGAAATGTACCAAACGAACCGCATGGGCGACTTGGGGCGCGACGGGCGAGTAAGACAAATACATGAATCAGTACGGCGCGAGCCACGGAGTCGAACGGCAGTCGCGGCGAATAGTGCAGTGATCAAACGAGTTTAGTTATTTTCGCCGCGAAAAATGAACACCGAGACTTTTATTGCTGAAATACTAGAAATTCATTATTCATTCTACCGTCAATTACAAGTTAGAAGTTGTTTATTGTTTCAGTTGTACGAAAAATTACTATCATCCTATTTAGATTTTTGCAATAAATAACATAATCATCTGAAAGTGTTTTTATTTCATGAAATATTAATATACAGAGTAACATTAAATTAGCTGATGATATTTTGGGCAAAGATAGTTCCAAATAAATTTAATTATAAAAAAATCCGTTTGCGACCATTACTTTCTTGGGAAAAGTTGTTCATACTAATGGATACTATAGGTAATTCTCCAAAATATGATCAGCTAATCAAATATTACCTATATACATCGGTATATAGATGAATACGTAATATAGATTAACATAGCGACTCTAATGATCATTGACAACACAATATAAATATAACTTAATTGATGTCAACTCCATTAATATTGAGATCTACGGCGAAACTATAGAAATTGTGAAAGAATTCAAATACCTAGGCTTCATCGTTGATAACACTTTGAACTTAAAAAAAAAACACTTCCAGTATATGTGTAATAAAATTTGTAAAAAATTGTTTTTCTTCACTAGAATTAGTAGACAATTAACATTCCAATCTAATTTGACTGTTTATAAAACAATAATCCTACCACACTTTGATTACTGTGCTACTTTGATATCATTAGTAGACGGTAATTCTATCTCTACTCTACAAAAATCACAAAACAGGAATGCGCTCGTTATTAAAATGCCATAAATATACTTCTATATTATCAATGATTAATATTCTGAATTGGATGATAGATTACAATATTTTTCTATGATATTCATATTCGAAATACTCACTGGAAAAGCACCACATTACTTCAATGAGTTTATTACATATAACCATCAGATACACAAATACGATACAAGAGGAAGAGATGACTTGGTTGTCCCACGAACTAACCTTGCAAGAACAATGAATTCTATTTTTCACAGAGGACTCTTGGAGTATAACAAGCTTTCTAATGAAATTAAACAAAGTAACACCCTTCAACTCTTCAAACGCTCCTTATCTCAATATTTACGACATAATACTATTCCAATTGAGTTGTTCATCATTCTTCTTTCTATTAATCTCTTCATCATCTACCACTGCTATGTTTTACCCAATATATTCCATTATATAGTAATTCTGTTCAATAACTGATATATTTGTATAATATTTATGTATTTCAGGATATCTATTTCCATTTCTATTTCTATAGATATGTATAGATAGGTAAATACACGGAGCGGCACTTGAAATTCTATTTGCATTGAGTTTTTTCTCCAATTCTAGTTGAATATTCATAAGAATATAATCGAAGGTTTCAATGCTCATCCTGGTATAGGTACCCAAAAAAATTTTCTGGATATAATCTGTATTTCTCGTACTTCTTGTGGAATTCTCCATCTACACCCCGATTCTTCATCAAATCATGTACTCCACAATCTCTTACAAATATTAGGTCTTGAACCAAAAAACTATTACTTTCCAAGCAATATCGAGATGAATTCGATAAAAACATTTCGCTGTCGGACTATTGGTCGTGGCGGCGAACGTGACTGCCCGTGGCCTGCAAACCGTGAGACACCAATGCACTTGCTACCAGCATGTCCAGCATATGTCTCGGCCTATATCCATCGACATAACGCGGCCCGAAGAGTGCTATATTACCATCTACGGCACTCTTACGGTATTGACGGGATACCAGTAGTGACCTACGCTCCGGGGAATATCAAATCGGTTGTAAAGAATGTGAAGTGCCGAATTTATCAGAACTTTTCGTTCCCCACCCTCAGGCCCATTCAAGCTGATTAGCTCGATATAGTTCTTCTTGATCATCAGAGCAAGACGATATTTGTCGTGGTTTTCAGCTCCTGGCGTCCGAAAAGGAAAGGAAAAACGGATGACATATCGAGACTTCCTTTTTGATCTTCACACACAAATGAAGGAGACTCTCATTCTTGGCACATGATTCTCAGACCCAATAATCACTTACCCCACAGTATGAGGAGTGGTCATTGGTTGATAATGATGGCGCTATGTATCAGGACTTTGGGAGGAATGACTCGACCAGTGCAGGATAAAATTATAATCCCCAGAAGATATAATAAATAGTATCCATTTAGATTCTAGAACATATTGGAATACAGCAATATGGGCTGATGAGTGATAAAGCGCTAGTTTCAGCATCAGAAGAGTAGTTGAAACAAATGCAATAAAAATGTTTCGACAAGGACTAACTTATATGAAATAGGTTATTTCCCCCGATAGAGATAATATTAGGCCTTTTCAAATTAACGAAATGTACCAAAAATCGCTTCAGCAGCAGCAACTGGAACAGGCCAACAGAAGAGGTCCGATCCTACTCCAGGACAACGCCCGTCCGCTTGTTCTACAAGTCACCGTTCAAAAATCTAACAAATTGAGCGTCGAAGTTTTGCCCCAACCACCACACTCCCCTGACTTCACGCCAATCGCCTACTATCTTTTCAAACACTTCGTTAACATTCCACCGGTAGGTCTTTCGTCAGTCAAGACCAAGCGAAAACTACTTGCGTCGATAAATTGATCGATATATGTTACGTTGGCAATATTTCACTGATTGAAATGGCGTTAATTTCGATTATTTAAAGTAGAAAACGGACAAAACTTCTGAATTCACCTTGGGAAAATTCTACCGACGAACTAATAAAGTCATTTAGAATATCAGATGTAACCTTTTCTTCATTTTCAGCTACATTATTAGCCGTCACCGATGGCATGTCATACGGATGGAGTGCTCCTATGACCCCTTACTTCATCAGTGGAGAGAGTCACGTAAAAATGACCTTACAAGAAGCTGAAAGAATGGAAACATGGTTGATGATTGGTACCATATGCGCGCTGCCAGTTACCGTATTTGCAGTAGATAAAATAGGAAGAAAAAAAACTCTACTAGCCTCCTGTGTCGTTTTGATAATATGCTGGATAATGATAGCAATAGGAAGAAGAATAGAAATCCTCTACGCAGGAAGGTTACTACAAGGATCAGGAGTTAACATGGCCTTTGTTGCTGCTCCAATGTACATAACAGAAATCACACAAAAACACTTTCGAGGAATGATAATAAGTACAGTTTTCGTGATGATGATGTTTGGTGTTTTATTAGTATATTCAACAATACCATTTGTTCCATATTATGTTCCTTCAGTCATAGCCGTTGCTTTACTATCGGTCCAGCTGGTAGTATTTTCATTTTTGCCGGAAACTCCTTACTACCTCATCAAAACAAAACAATATGAAGAAGCCAGGAAGTCCCTTCAAAGCTTCAGGGGCGACTGCAACATCGACAAAGAGTTCAACGAAATCCTCAAGGAAGCTGAAACCCACCAGAAAGAAAATGTGTCTGCTTTAAAGGGAATGTTTCTAGTGAAAAGTTATCGAAAAGCTCTCATAATAGTATTCTTTCTGACTATCTGTCAACCATTTGGATGTATGGAAATAATTTTGATGAATCTTCATGAGATCCTCAACAACGCAGGGTCCGTATATATGGATTCCAAATATGCTGCTATCATCTTTGCCAGTTTGATGATGGTATCTGCACTTGCATCTTCTTTTACTATCGACAAATTCGGAAGGAAATTTCTGTTGATAACATCGACGATTCTCACAGGATTATGCCTTCTGACATTAGGAGTATATTTTAATTTAAAAACTGCTGGCTTCGACATGGAATCAGTCAGTTGGATACCCATAGTGGCTGTAATGGTCTACGCACTCGTTTTCAAAATTGGATTGGGAATGGTACCAATTGTAGTGACAACGGAGGTTTTTACAGCAAACATAAGACCTCTAGGAATGACTCTTGCAGACGGTTTTTATGTTGCTGCTTCTATATTGTCACTGGAGCTATTCTTCAATTTGAAGAGCACGTTTGGCATGCATGCCGCTTTCTATACGTTCACTCTTTATGCCTTCGTTACGTTGACATTCATTATTTTTTGGGTTCCAGAAACCAAGGGTAAGAGTATTGAGGAAATTCAGGATATTTTGAGAGGAACCAAAGGGCCGTCATTAGAGGAAAGTAATTGAGTTTCTCAAAGTAAAATACCTTCTCAACCTATCGATATTATTTTTTTGTATACTAGAACTTTCAAAACACTCTTCTCTATATCGCTCTGGTGGGTGAGACAAGTAATTCTGTTTTACTTATGGTTTTCGTCGTTATGCGTATGTCTACTGTAATGCATGTTCTATGAGAAATCCCATTCCATTTGAAACTGAGAGTGAAACTGTGCGAAATTTTCTACTACACTATATTCAGTACATCGATAAAAGAGAACCAGCTGTGTTATTTCTATCAAAGATACCTATATTCATTTTTTTTATAATTTTGTATTCAAATATATTTTTTGACATACTCAAAAAATTGTTTCCTTCATTCGTCATATTTCATAGCATCGATCTGAATGAAAAAATGAAATGAGGAATAAAACTTTTCAGCTTTGACATCTCCAGTAATTTTTAATGAAAGGGAAAGAACTTCACGGGAAGTTAGAAAAGCTGAAATTATTAGTGATAACGCAATAATGTGTAGATCATTCAAAGATGTTCCTCTCGGATACAAAGCGCAAAAAATACGTTCAAAAAAACCACCTTTGATAAGAAACGTTGAATTACAAAAAAATCAATTTTTGGCAGTCAGATTGAACACCAAGTATGGAACGAAATTGAAACAGATTTCATACACAAGAACACAATGTTATACAGTGTGTAACAACGAAAACTTAACAGAGCCGTTTTTTTAATATAAAAAGTAAGATCTTCAAAAAAAGCTCAGACACGTCGATTTCTAATCAATGGGGGACACCTTTCAGACTAATCAGATTTTTTGTAGTACGCACCCCCTCGGAGAGGTGCGTCCGACGACCCTTATTTAGATAGGGAAAGTAGGTCGAGTGGCACCTTGTTTTGAAGGTCTTTCGAATACCTTCACAACTCTGGTAAAATAAAATTTTTGTAACAATTAGTTTTCGAGTTAATTTGAAGATTTAAAGGTATTTTTATTGAGTTCAACTCTTTTTAAAATAAATCAAATTGTTTTTCATAAAAAAAATTGCTTTTTATGACAACCTGCTAATACGTGTCCATTTGATTTCGTAAAAAAGTTAGAATTATTTGTTTATTACGAGGAGATTTTTTCGGGGGATGGGGTTGGTTACCACCCATACATTTTAGATAAATTGAGTGGCACCTCCTTATGAAGGTTGCCTTTTGACGTGGATATTTCATGCTTCTGATAAAAAAGTGAATCATACTAAAAACTTACCCACACAACGAATACAACCTGCTGATTTCCTTGAATGCTGATGACACAGAAAAGTTTAAAAAACTGTTTTAGGGTTAATAAATCCCAATAATTGTTTTTAAAACACACACAAAAAAAGTAACACATAATAAGGTTAACTCACATAGGAAATTTAGAGTAAATGTTCAAAATGTGCGCCATTTTGCTCCAAGCAACAATAAAGATTTTGTTCGAATTTTGTTCTTACATTATTCAACATCTCAGGAGTTATTGCTCGGCATTCATCAATAATTCTACGACGTAATTCATCCAAATTGGCTGGCTGTGTAGCATAAACTTCAGACTTTGAATATCCCCAGAAAAATTAGTCCAATGGTGTTAAATCTGGTGATCGTGCTGGCCATTCAATTGGACCTCTTCTGCCAATCCATTGTCCTTCAAAATGATTATTCAAAAAATTTCGAACCTGCTGGGCATAATGGGGTGGTGCACCGTCTTGTTGAAAATGGATAAATTCATCTAGACATCTTGGATCCTGTTCAATTATTTCAACTATACGAGGTTGTATTGCCTCTTCAAGAAGTTGTAAATAAGAATCACCAGTTAAATTTCCATCAATGAAAAATGTACCTATAATATGATTGCCTAATATTCCGGCCCAGACATTCAACTTTTGGGGATGTTTGGTATGTATTTCTGCGTATTGTCTTGGGTTTTCATCCGACCAATAACGGCAATTGTGACGGTTCACGCAACCAGTTAAATAAAATGAGCTTTCGTCCGAAAAACAGATGTTATAAAGCAGCTCGAGATTTTGCATTAATCATCCTCATTGAGTTCATGAACAAGTTTAATTTTGTAAGGATGGAATTTGTGGTTTTTAAGGATTCTCCATGCGCTCATATGGCTTTTCCGGCCATTGCTGATAAACCTCTGGTACTTAACCTTGAATTGGCGATGACTTGACCAATCACTCCAATCGCATTATCGGCATTCACTACCCTTCTCTGAATATTTCTTTTCTTATTTAAAACCGACCCTGTCTCCCTGAATTTTGTAACCAAATCCAGAACGTGATTCTTGCTTAGGTGTTTACCAGGGTTCTGCTCGTTAAATAAAATTGATGTTCTATCAGCATTTTGGTCGTTGCCAAAAAATAAAGCAATAACTGAAACCCTTTCAGCAGTAGTGTAAAACATTTTTAAATAAATAACAATACACGACCTGTTTAAACAAAACAATCGAACGATGTACTAATGAAAACTGGAAGAAGAGGAGTGGGTATTGATTTTAAAAAAGTGATTTTATTCAACAAAAAACTGATAAGAAGAACTGCTCGAATGTATTTAGACATGCAAGTTACCGAGTGGTCTGTCTAATGTATTAATAACATGGCAATTTTAACTTCAAATTATCTCGAAAACTAATCGTTACAAAAATTTTCTTTTAACAGAGTTGTAAAGGTATTCGAAAGGCCTTTAAAACAAGGTACCACTCGACCTACTTTCCCTATCTAAATAAGGGTCGTCGGATGCACCCCTCCGAGGGGGTTGCGGCTATGTTGCAAAGTGAAACTTCTATGTCGATCACTAAATGAAAAAACGCTTTTTCTTGTGGAAAAGAAAGTTTTTTGGCTTTCTACTACTCATCTTGATACAAAAAAAGGATGAGGGAATCTTCCAAAGAAGGAAAGGAAGTAATCAATTTATTATACTGTTATTATATTTATAAATAATTTTCCTTAATTTTTGGTAAAATTGCCGGTTTGTGTGGTCAACAAGTGTTTTTTTTTATTAATTTTAGGACATGACATTTGAAAACACTTTCTGTGCTTGCAAACCGGGATGCCAACTTTCATCCTAACCAGGATTGCCAATTCTGTTTTATATTTTTGAAAAATATCACAGAAATTGAAAAGAGAGTGTATATTATGGAGTGGTCAGATTTGTTATTGAATTTTTGAAACTTTGAAAATTCTTATCTATTGATGAAAGGAAGGATTATATTTCACTTAGATGATTTAGATCTGTTTTTTATTCGAACAATTTTCTGATTGAGAAATGAAAGACATCTCAAGAAAAAGCCTATTTGCTGTATTTTTTCCTTTTGATAAAATTGTTGTTTCTTCAAAATTCATAATATGTCCTGAAACGTTGGCATGTTCGCTTGAAGCGCACCTTTGTGGTGCTAATCTGCAGTCACTTTTGTGAGAAGTTATACGGTCTTTTAATAATCATTTTAGTAATGATTATTATCATTGATATTTGTTTCATTATTTTGTATATTTAAATTATTATTATTGATTGATATTTCATTTATCACAAAAGGAGTACTAAACAGTATTTCTTTCAGTGAAGAATCTGGATATGAGTTATTTTTAAACAATTGAAAAATAATGTTTAAATTTTTTATATTAGGACAATCAAAAATGCAGAGAACACGTTGTTTCACTTGTTTGATCAAATTAATTTTCATGGATGTTTTATGTTAAGAATAGTAATTCATAAATCTACCAGAGCTTACTGGTTTCCTATTCCAATCTATTAAGATGGTATTATCTGCAGTTCGAAGAAGTTTTGTGTCAAGATAGGAACGGTATGTTATCCATCCTCACATTCGATGGTAAATTTCATATATGGATCATAACCGTTGAAAACCTGTATTTCTGCAATTCCGGATTGTGAAAATGCTATCATCTTCAAGCCTCTACTCAAACAAAAGTTTGAGATGATAGCACAGCCTGCTATCGAAAGTGCTCGCATATAATAAGTAGATGTTAATTCGAAATCACTTTATAAGCTTATTATAATACTAATTATACCCACCTCATTGTAATACATACAGTTACCAAATTCCTTATCAATTTTGTTATTCATGATATGTGCATGGGATCTATTTTCGTGTAGATAATTTTCACCGTCATCGGCGAAAGAGATGTTCGAATAAGATATATCAACTCATACAAACAGGCGCTTATGGTGAAACATATTCATTATATCAATATCACTCATTATTTGAAAGTTAGAAAGGTCTCACAATGATTGAAAATAACGAAAAGAAAGGCAGTGTATCTAATGGAACCATATTCCAATTGTTTGCTGCTTTTATAGGTGAGTAACATTTTTTTTGAAAGGCATTATTCATGATTCTGTCAAGTTTAACACATAACACCATCCATTTGGCCTGATTCTGATTTGTAATATAATTTCGGAGTTGAAATCGTGTCATTTTTATCTATATGAAGGTCAAATGTACAACTGAATCTATAGATTATTTTCTTTATAATTATAATAATAGTTTCATTGCATTGATGAGTACAAAAGAATTACAAAAATATGTATGAAACTAAATAAATACAACAATCAACCCAAGGTCAAATATCTTGTTCAAACAACTTTTTTCTGCCACTCAACTATGATCGTACCTATTGAGTCTCGTGCTGGGTACATTACATACATTAGATACAACAAAATACAAATTCAACAACACTACACCAGTTGGACTTACAAGTTCTTAGGTTATCTGCAGTAACGTTAGTTATACAGGGTGTTCCAAATTGAGTCGGTACCATTGCCAACTCCGTTATTAATTATGCTACGAATACGGTTAAAAGGGCAAACCAGTAGTATTTTCAATTGCCTTCTGATGCCAAGAACAAAACAAAATTGACAATCGCTTTTTCAAAATATTTCATAATTTTTCTTTAATGAAGGATATTCCAATTATTTTATCATGCACATCAATTCGTAATAACATTCTCTACAACAAAACTCATATCATTCCTACAGTTGAAAATAAGAGACTTATGTGGAAATATTCATTTCTTTCACTAGTACAAAATATTTTTTTGTTTTGGTGATTAAAGAGCTATAAAATATCGTATAAATATTCAAAACCACCACCTTCTTGTTGAACACATATCTGGCGCCTTCTCCCGACACTACGTGTTGTTTTCAACACAATTCGGCCATCAAATGTACCAAGTAACCCACAATTTGTTGTTGCATAAACTAAACGCTTTGGGTATTCAAGAAAACATTCTGAAATGGATTAAAAATGATCTAGTCTGCAGAGTACAATTTGTAAAATATGGTAACTCAGTATCCTCCTCAATCTCATCGAATGTACCACAGGGTTCTCATTCAGGGACATTGCTCATCAACTGATGATGATCATCTAAAGATGTTAAACGTTACTCATGACTCAAAATTATTACAGTACGATTTATCTAACTTTGTTTGCTGGTGTAATATAAATCTACTGCAATTAAATAAAGACAAATGTCAAAAATTTACTTTTTTCCGAAACAAAAATCCCATTAACCGGCCATATAAAATCAATCAATCAGAACTGAAAACTACAAACACAATCAGAGATTTAGGAATCACTCTCGACCCAAAAATGTCATTTAAACCCTGTATTGCAAATATTACTTCTGAAGCACTAAACATGTTAGGTTTCATTAGTAGATCTGCAAATGAATCATCTCTCATTTCAATGAAAATAATATATTGTTCAATTGTTAGGTCAATAATCGAATACAATTTCACAATTTGGTGCCCTTCATATCATGTGGATATTGATATGCTTGAAAGTGTTCAAAATAAGTTTTTAAGGTAATTATAATAATAATAATACCTCGGGGTGGAACAACGCCACTCACAAGAGGTAACAGCAGTGAAAAACTCTCTCCGCGGCAAGTATCAGCACAAACTCCGACAGATCTGGTCATCGGAACTGTCGGGGAAGAACAAAGTTGCTGAAACAAATATGCTTGCCGTTCCAATCTTACTCTACTCGTTTGGAATAGTGAAGTGGACTCGGGAGGAGCTGTATCAACTCGACGTAAAGACCCGAAAAATGATGCATCTCAATAGGAGTTTGCATCCCAAATCGTCCGTTCCACGATTGTACTTCCCCCGACAACAGGGAGGCCGTGGACTTTTCCACTACCGTGGAAAAAAAAATAACAGGTCTTTATTCATCATAATAAAAAAAATTAACAATAGAAAGATATGATGAAACATAGTATGATGGATGGGCGAGGTTCAGCTATTATAGCTGCTTTCAAACCTAACCTTTCAAACTATAAAAAAGTGCAAGGTATCGTAAATAAATGATAAATTATTATAAAATAACTATAAAATAACACAAAATGATACAATCGCGATATGGTAAAACAAAATCTGGGAAATCGAAACCTATTCGATAGCCTGAGGAAAGTGTTATAATGTTAAATTATTGACTCGTTGACATTAGAGCTTTGAGTCTTTTTTTCAAGTTTTCGAGAGGTAACTGTTTGAAATCTACAGATATGGTGTTATACAATTTAGCTGCCATGTATGAGAAACTACGTGTATAAATAGCCGAATTATGATTGGATATAAACAAGAGGTGTCGATTGCGACTGTTATTATTGAAAGATAGTGAAATGAGTTTATCACGCAGATAGGGTGGAGTTCCGGTTTGCAATATTTTGCAATATTTTGTATTTTCTGAAGACGTTGAGCATCAGTTTTCAGTAAAGCAGGTCCGTAAATGGTATCATAATAGGCCAGTCTTGGCCTTGGTCTTGGTATCAGAGACTCACAGAGGCTGAGTTTCGAATTTTTAGACATTACAAGTCTGTTAGGATATAACTGCCTCAAAATATTGAAAGAAGTCTTACATACGTAATTGACATGTTTTGTGAATCTAAGTTCGGTGTCAAGACATAAATCTAAATTTTTACTTGCCTCTACAAAAGGGATAACATGATTATCGATGTGAATAGTTAGACATTCACACACCGCACTTCTTCTATTTTTTGGTCCAAAAAGCATAATTTGCGATTTATTTGGATTGAGTTTTGAATTGTGTGCACAGGATATATCAAATAGCGATTTAAGATTTCTATCAATGAGTTTTTCGACCTCTTTAGTTTCATGGAAACTGAAAGAGGTATATAGTTGGGTATCATCGGCGTAGAGGTGAATTTTGCATGTCTGTATGTATTTATGGAAATCACTCACGTAGAGGGCGATAAGAAGTGGTCGCAAAACTGAACCTTATGGTACTCCAAATCTTCTGACCAATGAAATAGATTGTTCACCATCCAGTATGACATTTTGAGTCCGTTCTGATAAATATGTGTCTAAAAGAGATACTGCGCTCCGAAAAAAAACAAAAAACTGAAGTTTTTTACACAAGGTAAACGAATCTAACTGTGTCAAAAACCTTGCTGTAATCAAGCAAAATGAGACAAGTGAATTTTTTAAATCGCATGACTTGAAAATATCATCAATGATAAGGGTCAGTGCTGTTGTTGTACTAAATTGTGGGCGAAACCCCGATTGCACGTCAGAAATGGGATTTTTCTCCACAGAGTAGTTGGAAATTTGATCCTTCATTATCATTTCCAGTGCTTTCGACATGGTAGGAAGTAGGCTGATGGGTCGAAAATCAGACAATTCGGTGGGATCGCTACATTTTACTAGAGGGGTAACTCCAGCATGTTTCCATATAGATGGAAATCGACTTGTGATAATGGAATTGAAAATAAATGTAATATGCGGCAGCAATTGAGGTATCACCAGATGTAACATACGAATAGAAATTTTGTCACAACCTACAGCACTACTTTCGATTTTATTTATATATCTTCTGACTGTTTCACTTTCAATAGTTTTGAAGGAGAAACCATTTTCAGATATCAGTGAAGGTACTATGCATATAAACTGGGATATCATATTGGTCAATATGACTATAAAATTATATTAGATATTCTTGATTTGAATACTCTGGCTCATAAAAGATTAGAATCAGATCTTACACTTGTCGAACTTATAACTTTATATGTGAATCTAAGTAGAACAAGAAATTCGGATATCTTCAAAGTACCCTTTTGTCTCACCAAATATGACCGGAATGAATATGTAGGTAGAATTTTGAGACTTGCAAATACATATAATGTAGATTTAGAATTTCTTCAATTCTTCTTTGGAAACATCTAAAAAGACTGTGAAAAGATTGAAATTCATTAACCTAAATTTACGTTTTTTTTTTATTTTATTTTATATATTTTTTTCCCTAAACCTAGCTTAAATTACTGTTGAATACATATGTGTGAACTTGTTTATTATTTTGTAAAAAATAGGCATTGTCGTAAATAAATACATGAATAAATAAATGAATGAATTATAAAAATTACATTTTCAATATTATTTTTCAGTTCATCTACATTATTATGTTTTATTTTGAACACCTCATTTTTCAGAAATCCCCAAAAATAAAAATCTAGAGGTGTCATGTCTGGTGAACGGGGAGGCCACTTAACAGGACCATTTGTAGCAATCCGTCTGTTTCCAAAACATTCTCGCAACATTCTTTCCACACCACTGAAATTAAGTGCTTATGCTCCATCCTGCTGAAAATTTATTTAATCATTTGACGACCCTCCAGATCAAGATCATCGAAAAAATCTTCCAACACTCTTGTTAATGAATTAATTTAACGGAGAAAAATGTACCGATAATTCTACCTCTAAATAGACCACACCAAACATTCATACTAAATCGTCTTTGCGGCTTGTGGGGCTGGACTATATGGATTATGTCTACTCCAATAAGGAAAATTTTCTCTATTATACATCCCATAATTTGAAAAATTTGCCTCATCGCTCCACATAATATTGCTATAGAAGTTTGGATCTTGACTGCATTTATTCATAAACCATCGACAAAACCTCAATCGTCATTCAGGGTCACCAGGTTCTAGTGTTCGCACTGGCTTCCACTCATGAGGAGAAATCTTACATTTCTTCAGAATTCGTTGAATAACAGACGGTGGAACAGCTATTTCTCTAGATAAATCTCTGATGGAATCATTCGGATTCACCTCAAAGTAGACTAAAACGTCAATTTCTGTATCTTCAGATATTACAAAACGTTTTGTAGTTCTTCTCTTCTCAAAAACTTTTTCATTGTTCTCGAATCGGCGATAAAGCACAGCAAAAAAACGCTGATTAGGTAATTCACGATCGGGGAACGAATTGCTATAGTGTTGGAGTGCTCTTGCACTATTTTTCTGGCAAACCAAAAAGAACTCTTACATATCACATTTTCCTTGATGGGAAAACGGCATTTCGAAAAATATTCGAACAGTAGGTGACAGTTACAATAATTTATGACATTGTCATGATATACTTGAGAATATTTGACAAATAATATTTCAACAAAAATTCAAAGAAACTTAATCACTCATAATAATTCTCGAATAAAACACATTGTTTTCCAACCTATATAATATGACGCTCCATTATTTTCTGTTCTGTACAAAAACGGCTTCAATGTTATTATTATAGCAGACATATTTTGATTCACAAAATAAATACGGCTAGTGGAATGGCTTTAAGATGGAAATTATCGTTTTGTAAATCAATAGCCAAACCAAATTGCTCAATGGTCTTAAGTGAGTGATTCACGAGTTCAAATCCCAGCGCAGTTTCTTATTTTTGCTGTTAACAACAAAATATTTTCATTTTTATAAGTACCAGTGAAATGAATAAATATTTCCACATAAGTCGCTCAGTTTCAAGACAGGAAGAATGGTGTTGTTGTTGAGAATATTTTTACGAATCGAAATGCATGATGAAATACAGGGTGTTTCATTTGAAAAAATATCATTTTATGAAATATTTTTAAAAAGCGACTACTAGTTTGCACATTCGACTGAATTCGTAGCATCAATAATAACGGAGTTGGCAATGGTGCCGACTCATTTTGGTACACCCTGTATAGTTAGTCCTATAAAACCATAGATACACTGCGTGTATTGTCCTCGGTGCTCAGTTCACCAGTTTTTTTTCGCCAAAAAGCACCAAATGCTTTATCTCTCACGAAAATATTTTTCATCCATTTTCTTCAAGCTAACGAAAGTTGCTTTAGTCAATATTTTGTATCCTACAAACTAATAATCCGACAGCTTTGAAATTTGTACACGTGCCTTTTGAAGGTTAGAGTTAACTGATAATAATATGCATTCAATACTATTAGCTCCATCTGTGTGTTAGCCTAGGAACTTTTTAGCCCATCTAGTGGTTATCTAATTAGAACGAATAACAAAATCATGATCAATCAAATGGTATTTATCCACTGACTAGTCCTTGTCTGAGCTCCTCATATATTTGGGCAGCAGATAATAAAATTTTGTAAAGAGAAAAAGTAAGGGTCGCCTTGTATTTTATACTGATTCTATGCACATCAGTTCTGAATTTTATTTTTTAGTAAAGGTATCCAGGTTTACGATTAGTTATTGGTTTGGGGAAAAATACACAAGAATGAAGCATCCACCGATTCCTAATCGATAGCCATTCGTGATCCTCAAGGTGAGCAAAATTTTGTACTGTACTCTTCAGACTGAACTGCTTGAACTGCTTGCCAGATCAGACTCAAATTTTTGCATGACTCACTGACTCCCAACACAATTACTCGAACCCTTTCTTTACAGCGATTTCTGAAGCCTTGTCTATGAAATTACATAACTATTGATTTAGAGGGATTTATATTCGAGCATTTTTTTTATAAAATCAGAAGACATTACAGATCATCATTCATAATATACAGTGTGTAAAAGCCAAATGGAATTAATTCATTATTTCGGTTACTGTACATATTTTTAAAAAATCCCAAAACACGTGTTATCTAAATCAAATTTCAACATTCTTCAACGTAAAAATGCCACCCCTACCTTCAACCCCCTTCGAATGACAGGTACAACCCCCAACTTTCTAAATGGGAAGTATAGGTTTGAAAGGTCTCTTCATTTTCTATTCAAAAATGTTGTCGCTTCCAAGTTCATTGCAACAATTAAGATTGAATAAATTGAAAGCACGTGGCTACCGAAATTCGATAAAATACACTCAAAAAGTAAAATGTAATACAAAATATAATGAAATATAGAATACGAAAAAGAACTATGGATATCAACGAAGTAGATGTTTAAAATGTACACCGCGAACGTCTCTACATCCTAATCTCAAATAAAACTGTTTTATAACATTATGTATACTATCAAGCGTGCTCGACCCAATCGCAAGCCTTATTCGTTCTTTTAAGTCATTCAAATCTGAAGGTTTAGTTTTGTACACATTTTATTACATATCCACATAAAAAAATCTAATGGTGAAAGATCAAGTGATCGCGCTGGCCATTCAATCGATCCTCGCCTCCCTATCCACCGATTGAGAAATGTTGTATCGATGTATTGCCGGATATTAACTTGGTAATGTGGTGGTGTTCCATCTTACTGAAACCATATCTTATTCACTGGAACTTGAGGCTTTCCTGGAATAGGATACGAATTTGCTAAACTTGGAGTGACATCATTTTGAAGTAGTGTCAAATAATTAGTTCCATTCAAGTTGCCCTCAATGAAAAAGGGACGAATGATATGGTTTCCTACAATCCCCTCCAAATAATTAACCTTTTGAGAGTATTGCGTGTGTTCTTCTCTCATCCAGTGAGGATTTTCCGTTGACCAGTAGCGACAATTTTGCCGATTAGCATGACCGTTAAGACACAAAATACACTCATCAAAAAATATAACGTTTTCTAATTGGATGATATTGTTATCCAACATGTCCATCATTTGCTCACAAAAAAAAGTCTTCTTCCATGAGCTCCTGGGTACATATCATTTTATAGGGTTGCATTTTTTTTAATATGTTTACTATTGGTGTATGGCTAACATTGAATGTAGTGGATGCCTGTCTACTCAATGTATGTGGATTTTCCTCAAACCCAAGCATCACATCTAATTTGACTTCATCACTCATTGCATTGGCAGCTGCTTTCTTTATCTTCCCCACATGAGCAAGCTCGCGAAACTGCTTCTCTATTTTGCTTATTGTTTCTTGAGATATGGGCGATAAATTGGGAAATTTGTCATGAAATAGGCGACCTGGTCTGTTCGGGTTTTATCTCCGTAATCAATCATTTACAAAACTGTTATTTTATGCGTTACCATCAATCTAACCATTTGTCAGACTTGAAGTTAACGAACTCAAAATACTGACAACTGATGTTGTAAAATACAAAACAAGTTGACAAGGCATTTTAAAGTAACGTTGCCACGGAAATTATTTACAGTTTTTCAAAGGATACCATCTAAAAAGAACATTGCTTTGATTTTTACTTACTTTCTCATTATCAATACCTCAACATGAAATAAGTTTTGAGTATATTGCAATAAGTTTTAATTGTATTTTATCGAATTTCCGAAACCACATGATTTTAATTCATTTTATCTCAATTGTTGCAATAAATTTGAAAGCAATAACATTTTTGAGTAGAGAATGAAGAGACCTGTCACAAGCCTATACTTCCCACTTGAAAAATTGGGGGCTGTACTGTCATTCGACGGGGATTGAAGGTAGGGTTAGCATTTTTCCGTTGAAGTATGTCAAACTACAATTTAAATTTGACGTGTTTCGGGACTTTGTTAAAATATGTACCGTAACTGAAATAATGAATTTATTGCTTTTGGCTTTTACATACTGTATGTATTGGTTTTTCATGTCGATTATATGAACATTTTCTGACTTCTTGTAATCGACCAATTTCTTTCTTTGCTTTCAGCTACTTTGTTAGCGGTGACTGATGGCATGTCATATGGATGGACTGCTCCTATGATGAGCTACTTCACCAGTGAAGAAAGCCATATAAAAATGACCTTAGAAGAAGTAGAATGGATGGAAACTTGGTTAATGATTGGTACAATAATGGCGCTTCCTGTTACAGTAATCTCGGTAGAAAAAATAGGAAGAAAAAAGACGCTACTCATCTCTTGTACTATTTTGATAGCCAGCTGGATAATGATCGCAGTAGGTGGAGTAATTGAAATTATATATGCAGGAAGGTTCATGCAAGGATCTGGAATAAATATGGCCTTTGTTGCTGCTCCCATGTACGTGGGAGAAATCGCACATAAAAATTTTCGAGGAATGGTAGCAAGCACGGTTTTCGTGATGATGATGTTTGGTGTATTATTGGACTATAGCTCAATACCGTTCGTATCATATTACGTACCTCCCATCATAGCTGTTTGTTTTCTGTCGACACAGCTGATAGTATTTTCGTTTTTGCCTGAAACCCCCTATTACCTTATCAAAATAAAGCAATATGACAAAGCAAAGAAATCTCTCCAGAGCTTCAGAGGTAACTCTAACATAAATGATGAATTCGAAGAAATTCTAAGAGAAGCTGAAATATACGAAAAAGAAAATATGTCTGCTCTAAAAGCAATATTTCAAGTGAAAAGTTATCGAAAAGCTCTTTTAATTGTGATTTTCCTAGCATTTGTGGAACCATTCTCTTGTCAAGAGATTATTTTGATGAACCTTCATGAAATCCTGAATAGCGCTGGTTCCGTTTATATGGATTCCACTTATGCGGCTATCATCTTTGCTAGTTTGATGATGGTGTCTGCTCTCGCATCTTCGATAATGGTAGACAGATTCGGGAGGAAACTCCTGTTGATAATATCAATAATTCTCACAGGACTATGCCTTTTGACTTTAGGGCTATATTTTCATTTGAAACGTGCTGGTTTCGCCCTGGATTCCGTTAGTTGGATACCCGTAGTAGCAGTTATGGTATATGCACTCGTTTTTAAAGTTGGATTAGGCATGGTACCTATTGTGATTGCCACTGAGATTTTGACTGTCAAAATAAGGGCTCTGGGTATGACGCTTGGAGACGGAATTTATGTCACAGCCTCTATTACGTCGCTCCAAATATTCTTCATTTCAAAGAGCACTTTCGGAATGCATGCCTCCTTCTATACTTTCGCTGTATGTGTCCTCTTTATGTTGATAATCACAATTTTTTGGATTCCAGAAACTAAAGGTAAGAGTATGGAGGAAATTCAGCAGATTTTGAATGGAACAAAAGTGGAATCAATAAAGGATAAAAGTAGAATTCGATAAATTAAGATTACAGATACATGTTTTTCCATATTCTTTGATTTTCATGCATTACATTTCCTAATTACAATTTGAATTAGATCGAAGATATCGTAAAAAATATGATTGATTATTCAAAAGATAATTCTAATCACTTCGATTGAGTGTAATGTATACTCAGTTGATTCAATAAATATGAAATTCAGAATTGTATATTCTCCAACAAAAGAACTGGATCAACAACTATCATTTCAATCACTATTGTTGAAAACTCCCATTATTCATACTGCTAGGAAAATAGTGCTAAATAGGACCAAACCAAACATGCTTCAAATTCACTCCACTAGCCTATGTAAGCCGAGTTTGTATTTTATACGATAGTAAAGTTGTGAAAAATTACATTTGATTTTCTTTTCCAAACAAGTTTTTTTTAATAATGAAAGCAATGTGATCCACATCAACGGTAGTATTGAATCCAACACCTCCACACCTCATAATAACAGAGGCAAGAAGGTCCCATCCAGATGACTTTGAGAGTCACCAAGCTACCAAAAATCAGACCAAGATTCATAGAATACCTGGTGTAGACATTGATTCGTTTTTATTTTGTTGAAAACTCTAGACTTGAACACAAAGATGGTAACTTTAGTTTGCCTGTGAATGTATTGGTAAAAATCTATCCAAAAAGTATCATTGAAATTCCACAAAACTAATGTATTGGTAGGGATTTTGTGTAATTTTTTAGTTCAAGCATTGCGATAATCTCAGTGGGTAAATTAGTCACAATGTCAAACTCTTCTACTGAATAAAAAAAATATTTAATTTTCACATTTTTTAATTGTTCTTAATAATAAGCTTTTCAATTACCGTTTTTCGGGTGGTATTTTTTTCTTTGGTAGTAATGATTAGTCTACCATTATGGACTACAAACGTTGTAATTATCATAACCTCAATATTTATAAATTTCAATCATGTTTTGAACATTAAAAATTCAGTATACAAGAAATCATTTCGTGTGTAGTTCAAGTAAACGATATAGTGCAACCTACGTTCCAACAGTTTCCCTTTAATAATATAGTCAGGGAGCTAACTAATTTCGTTATTCAATAATCATTTCTGATTATATAAGAAAGTAGGGATTCAAATAAGAGGGTGATAATTGAAAATACCTCTGAATACTACTTACTCACATATATAAACAATCGATCGCTTTAAAAACACTTCATTAACTTTCTTCGAAAGCTCCTCATAATTTATCTTCCATATTCTCTGTTTCACTATCACTATCGTCATTTAAATCAATAATGAATTTATTTCCATCATTAATATGAATGTGTCCAATCTCCATATGGTCTTTCTCAACTAAAATTACTTTTTTAATCCTTTTCTGCCACTATTCTACGATAATATTACATACTTCTTCTTTAATTAGCTCTATTACCTTCTTATCAAATTTTGAAAATGTATTTTTACACCTGATGATTTCCCCAAATCAACTCGATGGGATTAAAAACAGAAAAATAGGATGGAAGTCTCAGTATGGTGTGTCTATACTTTCCAGCAATACTCTCAAGGGCATACACTTTTTCAAATGTTTTTGTCTATAAAACTTCAAGTAGTTGGTTTTTGGTATAGTAGTCTTCAGAATACAAATTGATATCCATTGAAAAACTTTGTATTTCATCTTTTCTCAAATTTTTATTCGGCACTTTGATGAGCTGTCACAAATGATAGGAAGCGTTGTTAAGAACTATTACACTATTCGCATACAAATTTGGAAAAAATATTAGCTTCCATATTCTTATGATAGTCGTTATTGCCGTCCTCAAGTTTTTTTCCACATAATTTCAAAAAATTCAGAACCCATCCTTTACTTCCCCCGCAATGCACAATGATTAGTCGCCATCCTTCGTTTGTAGGCATGTTAGGCGTACACATGCTCGAACCATCAGTCCACCCTTTCGTAACTATGTCGTGAATGACATACCAAGTTTCATCCAAATATAAAATATGACGTTGTTCTTGTCTAGATTTAGTTATTTGTTCTAAGTATTTGTTACGCAATTCCACTATTCTTCTGCTTTCCATAACTGCTTGTCGTATGTTTATTATTTTAAATCTAAATCTTAGTTTCTTCAACCAATTCTGAAGAGTTATGTCACAGCAGCTCACGTTATGGCCGGAAGTATTCAATTTCTTCCTGATGATTTCAGCTGTAGGAATTTCATTGCTTTTGTAATAGTCGTATATTGTTTTTTTCAATGATTTCATCAGAAACACATCTAAAGGTTTTGGTAATCCCGTATCACATCGCGTCTTGCGTTCATAATGTTTGTTTTTGACTATTTTACGTACACTTGAGAAAGGAATTTCGGTCAAATATGATGTTGCTTCTGATAGTTTGTTTCCCTCAAAGCCAAACTTGAAATGTAGATTCTTATACGCGTTGAAACATAATCTCTGTTTCAATATTCAAATGCATCCGAATCTTATGCACTGGTATCTCTTTTTCGCATTGTTCATCATCGCTATTGGAATCACTAAACAGGAAAAAGTCTGCGTTGTTATCACACTCGTTATTACTATTAGTACTTGTCCAAGGATGCCACATTTTGAACACATAACAAAAATTTTAACTAATTATAACTGCACTCAAATCGCGATCAGTTCCTGAACTGAACATTGACAACACGACGGCTCGCATTCTATTCGTCACCGTAACATGACTTCAATTTCAATTTTATGACTCTTCAGCCAAACATAACACTCGGTTAGTAAAAATCATCCAATACGAACCGCCAATTCTTCAGTCCACGTGGACTAGTTGGCAGCGGCTTCATTTCTCTGTATTGGTTTTTTCACCTTTGAAAACGCCGACACTTCAAGTATGCACAATACTAGTTACTGCGACTATACTCAAATGTCAGTATTTTCCTCAAAATATCAGAAAATATTGATAACAAAGAAGCACCACGTAGGTATATGTAAAAGAAAAAAGTCATTTTCGATTTCTCCAGTCTACATTAATGTTATAGAATAGTTAAATAATTGAATAGTCGAAGATAATGTTCACTCTAGTCTCCGACGTACATGACGAGAATATTCTCATGAAACACACATAAAATCAATTCTGCCATAACGAACAAGCTTGGTACTTACCTTGAAGACGAAAGTTTCATTGAAGACGGGATTCAACGTTTTCCGATGGACCTTGGTTTCAAATTTCTTCTTCTTATCTGGAAGAAGGTAGACTTTGACGTAAGGATCTGAAGTACCGCCCATGTCCAAAGCCGGCAAGTCCTCGGCTTGGATGACAGTTACCGAGAAACTGTTTTGGTTGAAGTCATACTCCAGCTGTAAGTCAAAATAACTCATAGTGTTACTTTAATGTGATACGAATTTTCATCATGTATCGGTCAATATCACTTTTGTTAAAAGTACCTTATATTGCAACTTGCCCAGTTTCTGAACCTCAGGCTTCTCTCCGTCATCAGGCTCTTCTGCATTTTCTGTCAGCTCGTCCATATCTGGCTGAACCTGAAAATTCGAAAAAAAATCAAATGCTCACACATTTCATACAGTTGATTTGAATAATATTCTAGTGGATTTGTGATAATGAAAATATTGAACAACTATCATTTCTCTCTTAATCATCTCAGTGATATTGGTTGAAATTCTACAGACCGCAATTTTCCCCATTGGGACTTATTTTTATTTTTCATGAGTTGAGTTTTCTGTCGAGCCCGTAGCTAACATCTTTCTCCACTTTTCAAATTCATGTCAAATGCAAATCAACTGGTATTCTTCATCGAATCGGCAGTAATAATTATCGCACTGATTCCTATCATTATATAAAACAATTCAAAGAATAATTACGTACAGAAAAATAATGATAAAAATTTGGTTTCAATACTTAGGGTACTATACTATACTATACTTTCATTTGATATTGTTATAAATCCTTTAAACTAATGAAGGTGGAACTAATTTTACTGAAGAGACACTGATATGGTTCCACAACTGAAATAATAAATTCCCAAATTGCTTCTATTTAAAAATGAACATGACGACTGCTACATAAAAATGCAGTCTATGGTTTTTCAGAAAACTCAAACTCCGCTCGTCAAATATAAACAATAGTCCCAGCAGGGGTCTGTTAAAAAATATAGAAAACTATTTTATGTCCCTCTGCAGCTGCAAATAAGTACGAAACCTAGGTTGAAATTGAATTAACTTTTGATTCATTCACTATTTGACTTGAAATATTTTCATGTAAAAAAAAAATTATATAACTTACCTTCTCCTTGTAAGACGATCCTAACAATTGCACTGACTTCAAGTCTACCCCCTTCATCCCCTTTTTGCCATCCTTTGCTCTCCGCTTTCGGAAACATCTTCTTATACAGCAAAAGCATATTCCAAGAACAACGATGCAAACAGCTGAGAAAAAAACACTTTTTCAGTTCGGATAATTATTTCAATTCAACCTTGTGTATAGTGTTTCAATCTTATTGTTTCCTCTAAAATATTTGTCGTAAAATACAAATCAATTTTCAGAATATTCCTATGTTTAATTCTTCCCAAATGTAACAATATCCCACAAGAAATGAAATATCTACACCAAAAATGGCAGACGAAATTCCACAAACCTGAAAAGTTTTGTGGAAGTTTTTGTCTGTCTGAAGAGTACATAGAAAAGAGTCTGTGTCGCATTGTCTTTTTCCAGTTTCGTAAAATTATTAAAAAACCTCGTGCTCAATGATAAACCACTAAGTTGCCTAGGAAGTAGCTCCAGCTGATTTTTTTTTTACATTCCTGACGCAGATGGTTTCTGTAATTGATTGAATATCTTGGGAAAACTTGTGTGAGACCATTGAAGTATTACATAAGCATATTTATTACATTTATTAACCCCCCATCCCCCTTGTCAGCAAAAGTAAGCGAAGGTATTACCCCTTCCTCTCATGCTCACATTGTTATATGCATTTTTCTTTTAATGTATTCTGTTTTCTATTGATTCGCTGAATTCACCGGACACCATTCATTTGAAGCAACTTTTGAATTTTATAACTCGTATTGAACGAATCAATAATGCACCAAGATGACAGTAACAAATTTCACAAATTCCACTTCCATCGAATCGGAGTCAGATCCACCAAAAATAATGGTAGTATCGTCTTCGAATAGCTCAATTGATCCTTTCACCTTCAACAATGAAATAGAGTCAATGTATATAAAAAAAGATCCCAATACTGATCCCTGCGAAATTTTGGCATGGCATACATCACTGATGATAACCAAGTCAAGCAGGCCATCATTGATCATCGAAACGAAAGGTGGGAAGAGCTTTTGGATTCCTTTGAACCTGGGGATGACGAGCTTTGGCGAGTCACCCGCAGGCTCAAGGGTAATAAGACTGCTCTCTCACCCATTCACAGAGAGCGGATGATGACGACATTGACTGCGATATGCTGTTGGAAGACCGGGTTCACCGTATCCTCAGGAAAGATGACGATGATAACATCCGTCCAGCTTCTGTGGTAGAACTGAAGGGTTACATCAGGGACGCAAAGGGCAAGAAAGCTCCGGGGGTCGATTCAATAACTAATAAGTTGTTGAAGAGCCTTCCGGAAAATTGCGTCGAGAACCTACTGTACATTATAAACAGTTCGTTGGCCCTAAGATTCCAAAACAAGGTCAGAACCCGCTGTTCCCACAGAACTATCGCCCGATCAGTCTACTGACTGAAAGAGTTGTTCTCCAAAGGCTCAACGAAGAAGTTGAGGACCGAAATGTTCTGCCTGATGAACAATTTGGCTTGAGGAGAGAACACTCCACTGAGTTACAGGCTCTAAGGCTGGTCGAAAACACCATCCAAGAGTTGAAAAATAATAATAAAGGGCACATTGTACTATTGGACATCTCGAAGACTGTATATGGAACGAAGGCCTTCTGCACAAATTGAACCCGTTCGACCTGCCTCGGGATCTGATCCGGTGGATTGGGTTTTTCCTGAAAGACAGAACATTTCAGGTTAGAGTAGAGGGATCTCTGTCTGATAACAGAGATCGCTGGACTTATTCCTCCGAGATCCGACTATTTATAGGTTATTCGAGTGGTTTCACCTATCCCCTCTTCTCTCTCTTCGCTTCATCGGTTTTAGCGGAAACTGATCGTTTGGCAGGAGTTGGTTGTGTTTCGCTTGATTAGAGGTTTCCATATATTGCGTATCTCTATGCCAGCTTGGCTAAATGCGGCTTCTTTGAATTTTCTCCTAAACCAGTGTTCCTCCTTGTAGATGATTTCAGCTTGAGCCCACTTGATGTTATGTTGATGAGTCCAAACATGCTGTGCTATTCCGGATTTGCTGGTTTCTTCTAGCTATGTGTGTTTCTTGTGCTCGGTAATGCAAACTTCCAATGGTTTCTTAGTTTCACCGATGTATGATTATATCCGCCCTCGGAGGGTATCCGGTAAATGCAATTCTTGGAATCGCAGTTCGCTTTTGGTGGCCTGGTTATCGAGAGGCTGCTACGAATAGTGTTCCCAGATCTGAAACAGGTTCTGATGTTATACTTGGACCCAATCCTTCCTATCCTTTCCGACAATCCTCTGATTTAGGGAAGTACAAGCACTAATTGTGGCGACTTCTCTTCCTTGTGGAGCACTTGCTCCAAAATCGAATACTGAGGACTTTGTTTCTTTTTTGAATAACAGATTTACATCAATGACATTTACGTTCGGATTAGAAAATAAACGACAAATTCCATTTCTTCACGTTTTGGTAATGGGGAGCCAATGTGGAATGCTAGAATACGATAATGACCATCACTATTACACGAAGAACTTTGGAAACATTTTCAAGAAACTATGTATGAAACAAATCATACTTTACGAAGCCTTCCAGGAAATCCATAGGGCAAAACCGTGAATCTGGAAATTCACGAAATTGAATGTGAGGACTGCGATACAAAATGTCATGGACAGACCAATATATCTATCAAAATAATATATAAGAAGCACTTAACACACCTTCAGGTCATTGAAATTAGTTAGACAAGTTAACAACAACAGGCATCTAGATGCCTATGAGAACTGAGAAATAAGCCAACATTATAATATTATGAATAACGATGGTGGACTAATACCTAATAGTTTACTATATAGCTTGTTGAGATAATATTTTCAGTTCAGATTAACCTCTGATATCTATAGTATAAATAAGGACAACATTGTATGTAGATTTAGTTTATTCTAACTCTTAAAGATGATCATTTGAAGATTGAAACACGAGTTGAGGTATTGAAAACAGCGGTTTGGTGTTGGGATAAAACTCCAGTAAAAATGATAAAGAAATTAATCAGTTATTCGTTTCAAAACTCTTTGACAAGATTGTTGAATAAAAATATATCTGTACTTACCAATCAAAATGGTTACTAGCACCCAAGTGTCGATCCCTTCTTTATCCGCCAGAATTTTTATCTCCTCGAAAATGCCCTTGGTCGCATTCGTGGGGGTTACTGCAAAAAACCGGCGAATATGTGAATAATCAGTACACGAAAAAAGTGCCCCCAGCACAAAATATTGGCATAAGGGGTACCACTTTAAAGTATGCCTACAAAGAGTTTCGGACATGCTGAGGAGTGTAACGATAGTGGTGGATGTGTTGTTGATAATTTGGAGGATCAAATCGAACATTAAATAACATATCAAAGACCACTTTGTTCGTTTCAAACTTGTTTTACATCGAATACCACTCTCCGCCATTTGATTCACCGTCATTGAAGGTTTTTTAATTTTTCTTTACTGATTTCTGCAATTCAGCGAATCCATTAAAAGTCAGTGGCGTCTCTGAAGAGGTGTTCGAAACAAAAAACATATCCCTAATGATTCTGTGAGAAAAAGTTCATCAGTTACAAATGTGAAATAATTTTTTCGAATATTTCTGTTGAATACGAATGAATAGCCTATCTTCATTCATTGTGAAACATTTTCATGAAATAGTCGGTATTTCTTGGACATATTAGGGTTTCAACGTTCAGAAATCTGGAAAAAATGCAGAGGATCCAGAGGAAAAAAAGAAACTGAGAATCTACAATATATGAACTTCTAGTAGAAAAAAGCCTAACAACCGGTGACTTGTTAGAATTTGTGAATGCTCATCTGTCAAATGAAACGAAATATATTCAAAAATTTTTTTTACACACAGAACATACGTCAAAAAAAGTTGAGAAGTTTCTCAAAGGAAAATAAAATATATTCTTGATAATTCGATCTTATTTGTTAGGCAAGCAAAAAAGTAATGCTGAATTTGTCTATTGTTGTTCAACTTTTTGGGATGCTTTCAACTGACGTTATAGAAGATTATATATTATTCTGAATTCATTCATTTTTCTGAAGGTAGAATATTTGAAACTCTAAAGAGTTCGAAAAATATTGTTTGTCTATTGCAGATGCAGATGTCTACATAATGGTATAAAAACCCATAATATGATCGCGAGCATTTCGAGGTTAACACCTATTTTCATTCCGATTCATTTGGTTCTATTAGATTTCTTGCAAACAGTTTGAAATCTATGTATAACAAAACAAAACATGTGTATACACGAGCAAATTGATGATTAGACCAATGGCACCTTTCTCGATCAATCACCTAGATAAATAAATTCACCTTTCTATTTCCAATAATGCCTGCCCCTTTTTTCTCACCCAATCGCAGTAAATATTATAAACTCTACTAGTTACGTATATTAGTCTAAGATCTAGCCCAAAAACATATTAACGAGGATAAGTTTGGACAAGTGGACAGGAAACTGGACCATTAGTCCATAAACCAATGAAATGCGAGGGCACTGATGAAGAAGTAAGCATGAAACCTCTAGAAAATCTTAGCACTCATCTCAGAATGAAAACCTCAAATCCAATAGTATCAAATTCTTCTTTCCAGCAGAATTGTAATTTTTGGCTCATTTTGAGTGGCAACTGAAATCCTCAAAATTTAAGGAAGTCATAAACTCAATGGTGTTCATCCTCACTCTCCTTCTTTTCCTCTTCACTTTCGATTTTGAAAATTAGTCGTCACATCAATTGTTTCTTTATGGACATTGGACGTTTCGAACATTGGCTTTTCTCTCAGCATGGAATTTCAGCTACCAAGCACATGAATATAGCAAGTGCGATCTTACTGAAACGTCGCGATAATGTCAAAAACGAACGGATGTACACCCGGGATGACACCCGATGTACACCCGGTATTCTAGATTATGTGATACTTAGAAGTCGATAGACGCAACTTATAAATTTCAGTCGTTCCATTTGTTGTTATTATTATGATATCAATTTGACCCGCTCAAATTGAAATCGTTCATAGCAAGTATTATACCTGAAGCAATTGGGTATCGTGTATCTACGAAAGGAATCCATATGAATAGTCAAAACGAGTCCTGTGAGAATCCAACTTCAATCATTTTTTATTCTGAATTCGTCACGTTATTAAATCTACTTTTCTCTTCATAGGTGACAAGTTGATCCGACGTTATAAGACAAGAAGTATAGGTTAGGTTAGGTCTGAAGTGAGTGGGTCTATTCGACCCTCCACCGCCACCCATAAGGGTTTATTGTGGCTCACACCTATTCACACTCGACCAAATGAACCCAGCTTCTTAACGGAGCTGATTAGTTTGTATGGTGAGTGGTCTGTCAGGTCAGATGATGAGAGTACGGATCTGCCGAACTCAAAGAACCTGATTCAATCCCCAGCGGGGCAGGCACAAAGTATATGCTCTGCAGTTTCATAATTTTCCAGACAGAGGCGACACACACTGTCTTCCGACAGTCCAAGTCTCTGCATGTGATGATTCAAATGACAGTGAACTGTAAGAAGGCCTGTTAGACATCATAGTTCATCCCAACTGTAGTCCAACAACTGTTTGGTATCAAGCTTCGAAGGGTGAATGAACGCCTTGGAGTGAGCCAATCCTGGATGATTCTGCCAGAAGTCCATAAATCTTCTTGTCATCCAGGTGTTCAGTGTTTGTTTGGCAAAGCCCAAGGCAATGCTAATGACAGGTTCTGTTCCGATGAAGCTGCTTGCTGCACCCTCCTCTGCAAAGGAGTCAGCAGCCTAATTGCCTTCCAGGCCAGTATGGCCAGGAATCCAGACCAGAGACAATCTGTTAAGTCGTTCTATCGAGGAGAGTCGTTTTTGACAATTTGCTACCAATTTAGACGTTGCTTGGTAGGAGTAGCAGTAGGAGTAATATATCTAGAAAATTGAAATTATCGTAAATCAGAGCATTCAATTCATGTAATTGCATTATTCGTGACAGAGATTGTACTCCTTGACGAGCGCTAGTTTCTAGCATCCTCTGTAGTCCTGCCAAGAAATACGCTATTTGCAAAAATTCCTAAATCTTTATTGGAATGCAACGTGAAGAGAAAACTTGAGAAAAAAATGAGGTGCTCAAAATGGAATGTGAACCTAATCCGGAATTATGTGAGTGTAGCAAGTAAGTGCTGTAAAGTGTCGAGTTTCTCGTGTTGCGGCTAAAACGACACTAACTTGCTTCGACACAAAAAACAACTAAATACCTGGTTCCACATGGGGAGTTGTGCGACCTTGAGATGGATGATAATGTTTGTTATTAAAAATGTGCGTTTCCAGACCTGCAGTTTCAGGAGTTATCATAGCATCGGCGTCAGTTGCGGGCGGCGTAGGTGGGGGGACGGTCGGGCTGGAAAACGACGCCGAAGGAGACATGGCTGGCTCATCGGGCTTCGAAACTGGAGCGTCACGTCTCACTAACGAACGGAAGGTGGGAGACATGATTCTGAAATGAACGAAAAATGTCAGTTTTACTCAAACAGGCTTGACATAAATCATTGGTTTTGCCGTGGTCTTCTTTGGTTACAATCTCCTAACGTTTCAACTGCAACTGCGGCAGTCATCTTCAGTGGCGTAGTCGGGGTACTCTTCTTGACGTTTCTGAACTTCGAGCACGCCACTGAAGATGACTGCCGCAGTTGCAGTTGAAACGTTTGAAGATTGTTACCAAAGAAGACCACGGCAAAACCCGGAAACCAACCAAGGCATCATTGATGTAATTCAAATACATCTTTGTGTAATAATAATGATGTTTTTTTTTGACGTACCCATATAACCAAATTTATTTCAATTAACAACTTTTTATAATTTGAATAATATAACGCATACCTATAGGTAGATATGTATCAAATTTGTTGAATAACAAAATCAGCCTCCAAATATGTTAGCACACGAAATAGAAAAATTAATGCCTTCTATTAGGTGTACCTCAAAAACCATTCACCGGGCGAGTGAGAATGTAGAGGACAATTACAAAAATAATATAAATTCAGTGGCAAATCAGTGGCATATCATGATTTTGATAAAACATATGACAGGGTATGTTAACAGGGACGCCGCTGATGAACATTAAGGAAACCTTCATCATGTAAAGAATGTATTTTTATGCGTACTTCTCATGTACTGAAACTGGGAAAAAGCAAAAGCGGTTTCGGAGATATCGGGGGAAATGATTTTTTTTGTTAAATTTCAACATCTTGAATTGTCATATGGAGAGTTATTCTTGAAATCACTCATGATTCAATTATGAAACACCAGGTATAGAGAAGAGGGGTTTTTCTGGATTCAGTTTAGTAAAAAATTTAAAATAAATATAGTTTAAAAAACTAAAAAAACAGGCTTTCAAAGAAGATCGACCTTAAAAATTCAAAATATTTATTGGTAAATGAGCTCAAAACAATAACGAACAAAAAAATACTAGTATTATTGTGAAAAAAGCGACGAGCACTTGATATACAAAAAATATGGCACAAAGCGCCCACGCTTTTTGCACAATAAAACTAGAATTTTTCGTACGTTATTGTTTAAAGCTTATTTAAAAAAAATATTTTTAACTTTTTAGTTCGATGTTCTTTAAAAGCGTGTTTTTTAGTTTATTCAGTTTATTTATTTTTCATTTTTCAGTTTCGTATGCTATAAAAGCTTGTTTTTCAGTCTTTTTAAACTAAATTTATTTCATTTAAACTTTGGGATCAATCAGCCGTATATTGTTTAGAAAAATGACTATTGATATTTTCGTACAGCGCCATCTGCCCGCGAATAGATCAAGCAATAATGTTAGTAATACTTTCAAATACACAATATTTTGCCACGCAAACTGTGAGTTCTGTAGTATTTAATTTTGCATAGAGCGCATGCGCCACCTGTTTTGCGTCAGATATACAAACGTAACGGAATATGAAGCAGTGTAGCGGAATTTTGCTTCATGTGTAGCGACTTTATAGTTGATCCAGTTGGCAACACTGCACGTTCAGTGTTTAGCGTGCGCTGGACATATACTGTTGAGAGCATTATGAAAATCTAACCAGCAAGTACGTAATATTCTTTTATTATGTAAAACCCGGCTTTAAAATGATAATACTAATTTTGTGTATGTACATTATTAGTGTCATTATTTATTCCTTCAAAAGTAACAATTGGCTTATGGTAGCTATCACATACGTACATACACAAAATAATCAATAAAAGATTTTGATAATGAATAACCTTTTCTTACCTTATCATAATGATATACATCAAATTATAGTAATAACACAAGCTTTTCTCAAGTTGAACAATTTCAATATTAAATAGTTCAACTTAGATCAGTTCAAGTTGTCACTTCTGTCGGGCGTCCCAAGATGCACATGTTTTATTTTATTATTTATATAAATTGAAAGAATAAAATGATACTGCCAATAATTAAGTCGATAAATTAATAATCCCTTGAAGTTTCTGTTTTTTTCTATAGTCTTAGAGAATCACTATAATAATTATGTTTATGCTGTTATAACCTGGATTTGGTGTTGGGTAGATGGAAGATCAATATGTGCCTTGATTTATCATGTGCTGATGTTGATCTGCCATTTCTTAGGTTACTTTAGTATTACTTGAACTAAGTAACCTTCCAATGAAAGCATTTATTATTATTAAATTTCTTGGATGCCAAGAGATCTTCCCAAACCTTCAAACCCTTGTAACGATAGCTCTTAATTCTCTTCAATTTCAAATGTAAGTTGGAATCCAAATTATAATTATGATAGTTCAGATGTGTGAGATAAGTATTTTCATATACTCAGAAAGAAAGGTGATGTTTCGTATGGAGACCGTATAGATTGACGTAGAACCCGTAGTTGCATTTCTTTATGTCTGAAGAAAGAAGCTGATTATCAACAACAAACAAAATCAAACACAAGAACTTCACCTATATTGAAATCTGCAACATTCATTAACAAGCACCATTTTCAAAACTAACTGATTACATTTAAATCTGAATAATTTATACCTAAGTTGCCTATCCTATCATAAATAATTTGGTACCTACAATCTTAACTGAGATTGACGAAAAATTGAGCGATAACGGAAAGGCACAAGAGTCCTGGCAGAGATATTTGAATGTGAACAACTCCAAGATTGTAGACTATTTCGTTGGTCAATTAAAATCCACTATGAAGTGCACACACTGTGGACACTCATCAGTAACCTTTGATCTGGCCAAGTGAGTTTGTCACATTGCTTGGATTCTTTCACAAGAGAGGAAACTCTGGATGGAGATGAAAAACCAATGTGTTCGAGGTGCAAGCAAAGGAGAAAATGTACAAAGTCCTTATCAATCTATAAGTTTGCCCGTATTTTAGTAATTCAGAGGCAAATTGAATATTTCCATTGAGTTTTCTTCAGATGGATTATATATGAGCAGTTATGCAGCAGACAATGTGGCTCCTTGTCGTTATAATCTATATGCACTTTCAAATCACAGTGGGACTACTTACAACGGACATTACACAGCATATTGCAGACATCCATATAGTGGCACGTGGCATGAATACAACGATTCACACGTGTTCCCAATTTCGCCAAAATCACTTGTGAGAAATGAGGCATATGTCCTCTTTTATGAACATGAGGGAACGAAGCGGCACCTTTGATGTGATTTTTTTTTCTTTCCTTTTTTTTATAATCTTAGTTCTTTGAATTGATTTGTACTTCAAGATTCAATTAGAAGAAAATTTGAATTAAAAAAAAAAAAGTATTGGATCAATTCTCAGTATTCTTGCCATATGTCTTAATGTCTAGTTGGATAATCAAGGTCTCAATAGCTGTACAGAACTTATATCTTCATAAATTAATCAACGAAAATTTTCAATGGCCATCGAGAAGAGTTAAATATAGCTCTTTATACACAAATGTACTACTTTTCTCCTATCATAATGGCTACGATTTGTTACAACCTTCAAAATCCTTATCAAAAGTTAACATAGTCGACTTACTGTGCCAAGGTGTTGGTAATTTATCATTATCACTACTTCCGAAGTAAAAAAAATTATACACTGTTACATGATTTGTTCACTAGCAACGCACAAGATGCAGAAAAAAATGTATATTCATGTTACCTTGCGGTAAATGAACACGAAATTTATCTCAATTGTTTGTTCTAGAGCTCACTCACGACAGAGAATATATTTACAACAATAATATAATCATTATGTTACGACGAAAACTGTTAATAAGCCACTGAAAACTGAACCCAGATAGGTAAGTGGGTGTTGTATTTCCTGTGACTTGTTTATCAATAATCAACTTGAGAACAGTTGTCGAGAAAATACTTCAAAAACTCATGTTTCTGATGAGTGAAACATAATCATTTATCACTTTTACAAAATATTCTTGAATCTGCACAGTCATAAGTAACAAAGAATTCGGCGTTCAGGAAACTGATGCTGGTGACGTAGCATAAGCAATTTTTTTAGATCTTTCGAAGGCTTTTAACTGCGTTGATCATGATATACTGCTAAGAAAATTATGCCGGTATGGTTGCAGAGGAACTTCTTACAAATGGTTTGAATCGTACCTTACAGGTCGTGAACAAATCATTGAAACAAGGAGGGCAAGGAGGGCAATCGAAACTGGTTACCGCAGGGTTCTGTGTTGAGTCCCATTTTGTTATTATATGTAAATGATTGGACAAAGATTGATATATTTGGCTGTTTCACGCTTTCCGCGGACAAAACCATCGTTTTATTGGAAGAGGTAAAAACAATTAAGTTGCTTAGAATAATATTATCCGACTTGGATAAAAATAAAGAGGTGTGACGCTAATTTGCTGTCCCTGACACAAAATATAATGTAATTCCATCCAAATGCTTACTTGAGGAACTTTCCGTGGACAATGGTATCTTGCAAAATAAATTAAACCGTAAATTCTAGGGTGTATTCATTGATAATAGGCTAAAATTTGATTAACGCGCTAGATAATGTTATGCAGTAAGAGTGGTCTCTAAGGAGCTAGATATCAGTACTGCAAAAAATGCCAGCTTCGCTTTCGTCTTCTGTAATTGTATTATGATGTCTCTGTGATGTTTAGCCCAGAAATAAAGGCAGAGGACTCTTCATTAACAATAACATATTAATTGTCACAGAACTGTTCTTCTTAGAGACGGTTTGCTCAGTAGACGTAAATGAAACAAACAAAGTTTTATTCAGTTACCGCTATTATATTCGCCTCGAAATAGTGAGTTTGATCTGAGACTTTTCATCCCCACCTCAAGTTTTATTTTGTTTCATATATTATTCACATACTGGATGATCTATTCAACTATACATTTGTACATTTAATTTACTACGTTAAGTTTGATAATTCAGTTTTTTTTATTATTCTATAACTGATTTTTGTTGGAAACCAACCTGTCGTAGTAATGGATAAATAACGTAGTAGTAACTTCTATTATTTATTTTATGGAAACCTCAATAAAAGATATAATATCTGTAATGGGATCGTCTCCCAGTCAGACACTGACCCATTCAGTTAGCTCGATTTACGATGTATCAGTATCGTAATAGTGTTGACATGGAGTCAACATCATTGGTTTGCGATACATTGTCGATTAATATTAGCATTCCGTCAAACATGATGTATGTTCCACCTACGTTATATCAGTATACACCATTTAAAGTGCTATTATATTCACGTAAAAGGACAGTCAACGATTTTTTAATCAGATGGAAATTTTAATCTCTCAGAAAATATCATGAAGTTTTAGTAGAAAGATCTGAAATTTTCATCGATACATCATAAGACATCCGATCAGATTTTGGGAAAATGTCCCAAGGAGTGCCGCAAGGATCAATTTTTAACGTGTTGCTATTTATCATCTATGTAAACGATATAATGTTTAGTGAAATGAATGTGAGGATATATATTCACCACATGAACGAACCTATAATAAAATGTGATCAAAACAGAAAATTATTACAGTGTTAAATGCGAGAAACTGAGGTTGTAATCGAACCTGGAAATACATTATGTCCCACTCGAATAAAAACTGATATAGGAATACTCAGAATCACAAAGTCTCTAGTTCAAAAGCTTGTTAACAAAATTTTATAATTCGAATAAACTTGAAGAGGGAACAGTTAGTATGACCCGATACAACTATAAAATTAAAAATACTTTAATCGAAAATTCTTCAATTCTTCTTGTGTATATTTCTTGTTCATTTCTCATCGCAGCAGAACAAAAGCAATAATACTTATCAGCAGATTAATGTATATGTCTTTTCAAACCCTAGACCTAATGTAGGGTTGTGTATGTAATAATAATAATAATCGTCTTTATTGTTACCCAGCTGTAGTTAAATACAAATATTTAAATAAATTAGAGAGCTAGTTGCTGACATAACAAAAGGCGAAGTTCAACTCAGCACAAGTGCTACTGAGTTGTTCTTACACACACATTTTGTGTAATAACTAAATAAATCTATATATTTACCTGTTTATAATATACATTTCAGGCAACATTGAATATGATTAATTCGCTCAAATCTTATAATAGCAGAGTTCAAGAATTTTGATCCAACAATTATAACGGTGTACAGTATATTAATTCAAAGTAAATGGTATGCGCATTTTAATAAGGGCATGATATTTCTTGTGTGAACCGTATACAGACATAGCCCTGGAATCCAGCCAATTCAATTCGTTTCTCCATGGGCAGAAATAATCATTAAGTCCTGCCATACATTAGTAACTACAAGCAATAGGAATGAGGGTTGGAATTGGCTCAACATTTGAGATATTCGCTCGGACGTCGAAATGATGGTTCAATTTACCACACTCGTCTAGAGCTGAGAACTATTCGCAGTTAATCAATAATTTGCTGAACGCTTTCAAATACTTAGGTCGCTGGAGAAAATCAGTGAAAAGTAATGAAAATTTTGCAGGAAAACTAAGGTTATGAATATGATGAAACTGCATAGGAAGGCTATTGAGATATATAAGCATCCGACCACTTTTAACAGAAAAAAAGAAGGTATACTGGTCAACAAAATGTGGTATACAGAATTCAACAAGGCAAGAAATACACTAAAATATAACTTCTATCGACATCTTATCGGTGGCAAACCTGTCAACAACATAGACCAATCTGAATAACCTAGTAACAGTGCGGACCAATCATAACAATCCATGAACAGTGGGAATCAATCAGGAGTTAGCATTTATATGGACACCCCGCCGTCGCCTTCTCCATCGGCCTCACCACCATCCTCATCATCAACCAACCACCCTCTGAAATCATAAATACGTAGTTCGCCAGTCAGTCTATGCTGAGACTTTGAAATACAACCTTAATCCTCGCAGTCAAACCTCATGATGTCTGCCGCAGTAGCAGATGGTATTTAACGTTCCATTCCATGCTATCGAAAAAAAACGAATCAGAGAGTTTGCATCAAATGCTGTGTGAAAAGTATAGTTAAGTCCTCAAAAACACTTGAAGTATTGACAGTGGCATACGGTGATTGTACTCTGAGTCAGAAAAATGTTTACAAGTGGTATCAGATCTTTACAGAAGGAATGTTGAGAAAGTGGAGAAAATTGTTATGGAGAATCGTCGAGTCACTATTGGAGAAGTTACTGAGGATGTCGAATATCGACATCCTCAGTAACACGACAATTTTTTTTGTAATTTTCGGCATGAAGCGTGTGGCAGCAAACTTTGTTCCACAATTGCTGAATTTTGACCAAAAAAAACGTCGTATGAGCATCGCTCAAGAATTGTCAACAGGAATGAAGTCAAAGGTGATCCATGTATGCCTGAAAGGATCATAACTGGTAACGAATCATATGATTATGGTTATGACATCGAAATCAAAGTCCAATAGTCCCAAAAAACGTTTTCGGTATTGTGGGAAAACAATTCATGGCTTTTGCATCACAATAATGCACCTGTTCACTTGCATCACAATAATGCCCCTCAGCCACAGTGTTCACCAGATTTAGCACTATGCGACTTTTTTCTGTTCCAAAAATTGAAAAAACCCGTGAAACAATGGCGTTTTGCGATAATTGAGGAGATAAAAACCGAATCGCTCAGAGTGTTCTAGGACATTTGGAAAAGTACATATCAGAACAGCCTTGAAGATTGGAAAAAACGTTGACACAAATATTTTTAAGAAAAATGAACGTTCATCTCATTTCTTGAACAGACATTTTCATTTTGGTTAAGAACTGACCACATATTCCAAGTCAAAATTTTCCACTTGTATTTCGATGGACTGAATAAGCATGAAAGAATGAAAAAAATCTTTAAACGCCTTTGAAATGGTTAATTAAATAATAATAATCATATAGGGATCACACGTTGAAAAGTAAAACCTCGTTAGTCTTTGCTCGCACAAATTTCGACTTTCAAGAGTTGTCGTAGAGGGCGACAGCTGGTTAAGGAAAAAACATATTTTCATAGATTTTTTAACTTTAACAAAAAATGAAAAATCAAAATTGAAAGATTCCAAACCAAGTTACGTTTCGATAGTTAGTATCCACAATCGTCTTCGGGTGATAACTGGGCTTATTCCTCCGAGATCTGACTATTTATAGGTCATTCGAGTGCTTCCACCTATCCCCCTTTCCTCTCTCCGCTTCATTGGTTTCAGCGGGAGATGACCGTTTGGCGGGAGTTGGTCGTTTTTCGCTTAATTAGAGGTTTCCATATGTTACGTATCTCTACGCTAGCTTGACTAAATGCATTGTTGGACAACATATACGCAGCTTCCTTGAATTTTCTCCTAAATCAGTGTTCCTCTTTGTGGATGATTTCAGCTTGAGTCCACTTGATGTTATATTGATGAGTCCAAACATGCTCCATTCCGGATTTGCTGGTTTCTCCTCGCTGTGTGTGTTTTCATTTTTTGTTAATAATATTTTTTTAATTTACAGCTTTTATTATTATTTCTATTTTTTTTTTTTTGGTTGTTGCTTGTATGTTATTTCTTTGTAATATCAGTCTTTTGTTTATGAAAATTGTTATTTTCGGTTAATCTTTTTATTTTTTTTCAGGGATTTCAAATCAATTTATATTATATTAGACAATGGAAGTCCGAACTGATAAAATACATCACGAAACATTGTCAACCACCTTTAAACAAACATTCTTTAATAATTTTTGTTGAAAAGTAAGTTTTATATGTTATGGAATCAGCCGATACTTGATTGTGAGATTTTC